AGTTTTTCAATTATTTTATATATATCAATATATGACTTGCGATAAATATTTACTACAATTTTCAACTAATATTATTATTATTATATAAATATCATTATATTACAGTATGTTTTATTAGTTAGTATTATTGATATTTTATAACATTTAACCAAAAAAACTTGAAAATCATTAATTTTGATATTTGAAACAAAATTAATACTTATATATAAATAAATAAAAAACAATAACTAAAAAACATTAATTATTATGTTATAATTGAAAAATATATTGTGAAAAATAAATTGTGTTTCAAATATATTGTTAATTAATTATATTTATATATATATATATATTATATAATCACAACAACAAAAAAACAGTATTAACTTAAATATACATTATTTTTATAAAAATATATATATTATAAAAATGTATATTATTAATTGTTTAACTAAAAAATGTTTATTATCTAATATCTGGCACCTGGCGTTTTTGATCATACATGTGCTCATCATCATTGTCGTAGTCAATGGCGAACAAAAATCTGGTAGTCGTGTGGACAGAGAAGGCAACAAATGGTTTATACGTTTTGATGATACAAAAGCCAAACAGGATAAGGACAGACCTATTTGTATGCTGGTTGAGCTCAACAGTGTCAAATTGGTCAACAATTTTGATGGCCAGGTATCGCCACCGCTATGGACCAAACAAACCAAATTTACAGAGAGCACCGGTATGTGTAACCTAACTGATGGTACCACTGGTTCAGCCTATTTGCAGCTTCAATGGACCGATAGTACGACAGATATGCCGGCAATGTTTCGACTAAACTTTAGCCTATCTCACGATGACACTCATGTTGACGCCATCGCTGTTAGATTTACCGATCCATCCAAACGGTCGGCCATCAGTAATACCAGTAAGGAATTGGACGACACATTTAAAGTATCTCAAAAATATGGCTACAAGTGCTCGCATACGCTGACTGTCCAGTGCCTAAACAATCAGTCTATTGAGTTAACCGGCAGTCAGTGGGAAGTATTCCGTGATTCGGGAAAACCTGATTCAGAAAAAACATTGTTTATCAATACTCCCGTCAAATGTCCGAAAGATGTCGAACTTAACTCTAGTTTACCGATTATTGTCGGCGTTGTAGTGGCCGTAGTCGTAGTCTGTGTGCTAGTGTTCTGGATTGTTGGCCGCTATAAGTGGAGGCGTGTGCCCACTGATGATAAATATTAAATAATTTATATATATATAAAATATATTATATATACAGTATATATATATATATATATATATATATATTAATACTATAATATAAGTGATGTTTTTTTCAACGATATTCAAGCAAATTTAAATCTACTGTTTTTCAACTATCAACTATCCTACCCATCCCTCCCTCCCCCACTTCCCCCACTTCCCACCCATCATATCAGTGACAATATTATTATTATTATAGATATAGTATTATGTATCTAATAATTTATGAGTATTATGATTTATATATGTGTTTATTATTGATTTATTATTATTTTACAACAACAAAAAGTTATAAACTATTATTAACATAAAATATTTATTGAGATTAATAATATTTAGTTTGATTTTTATTTTATATATATATATTGCAGTATTTTAAGTTAATATTTAAAAAAAAATAATAATTATAGTTATCAATAAATATATTAAAACTATTATTTTATTTTAATTATTTTTTTTTTAAAAAACATAGATTTAGCGTAGTTTTGAATTTATAAAGTTTATTATTTTATTTTTTTTAAAAATAAATAAATTGAATTTATTGTATTACTTTAGTAAACATATATTTTGTTCATTAAATTATTTACTATTATTATAAACTATAGAAACATCTGTCATTGTGATACAGGTATTAATATATATTAATAATAAAAAATAAGATAATATTTAAAACTAATATTTTTTGTTTTATGTATCAATGATTTCACAAAAAAAATTATATTTTTATAACACTTATAAACTTTTATTATTTTATTGTAGATTTTTTTAATTACTTATTTTTTTTAATTACTAGACTGACCAGGTGATACAGGTTGCTCATGTATTATACACACAAAAAAACATATAATAATAAAAAAATTTTAAAAATTACTAAGATTTTTATAAAATTATTAAGATTTTTATAAAATTATTAAGTTTTTTTTAATTAGTAAAAATGTAAACTTTCAAAAAAAAACTTTCAATTTAAGTAATATATTTTATATATTAAAAAAATATTAATTGTAATCTAGTTTATATTAATAATTAAACATTTATTTTAAAAAAATAAAATAAAAATACAGGTTTTTTAAACATAAAAATAAACATCAATTTATATTTATTTACAACATTACAATAATAATTATTAAAAAAACACAATTTTGATTAAATAATAATTAGTTTTGTTATTTTTATATCAAAAAAAAAATTATTAATAATAATACTTATTATTAATATTTTTTTTAATAAAAAGCTGTTTAAATCAAATTATTATTATAATAGGTATATATTTTTTATATATATAGTATATACCAGTATATAATGTATATTATTTTAAATTTTATAACAAATTGTTTACAAGTTAAATGGCACCTGGTGTTTTTGCTAACTATACTAACTAATAATTATATACTGGTATATACTGGTTATTATGACAATGACAACACTGATGACATAGTTTACAGGGATGGCGGAAACAAATGGTTTATACGCTATACGGACAGTAAGATCAAGCCCGGAGGCCAGGACAGGGCTATCTGTTTGCTGGTTGAGCTAAATAGTATACAATTGGTGGTCAACAATTGGTTGGACCAAACAGTTTCGCTGCTGCCACTATGGGATAGTAGTAGTCATCAAACAAAATTTATAAACAGCACCGGTATGTGCAATAGGGATAGCGGTAAAGCCTATTTGCAATTTCAATGGACAGACAGTTCAATAGATACTACCATTACTACTACTACAGCATTTCGTATCGACTTTAGCCTATCGGACGGTTATCTTATAGTTGATTCCATATCCGTGACATTCGGCGATCCGTCAAAAAAACAGTCGGCCGTAATCAGTAATCAGTTGGACGAGTTGGACAAACTTACTGTGGGTGACAAATATGGCTACCGGTGCTCGCATACAATGACAGTCAAGTGCAGCAACAACGACAACACCCCAAACAGTCAGTCCATATATAATATACAGTTAACGGACATCCAATGGGAAGTATTTCGTGATCCGGGAGCACCCGATCCGACAGTACCGAAGTTTATCAATACACCAGTAGTCCGGTGTCCGATGGATGTGGAGGAGGAGGAGAAGCTTAACAAAAATATGCCGATAATTGTGGGCGTTGTCGGTGCCATAGTTTTTGTCGGTGTACTAGTATTTTGGGTGTTTGGCCGCTATAGGTGGAGGCGTGTGCCCAATGGATACGACTAATTAATTAATTATTTTTTCAAAATTTTTAATATCTATTTAATATTTTCTACATTTATCTTCAACAACAAAAATAATTATTATTATTAATGTAACAAAACTGTAATGTATTTTTATGTTTTGTTGTTTAAACAATAGCTGACTTAATAAGTATAGTAAAAACAATTACAATCATATTTATTGTATTTAATATATGAATATATAATTATGTATTTATTATTATAATAATTAATTGAATTATTTAAAATTTTATTATTGAATAGTATTTTATAGTATATTTTTTTTGTTTTTTTTTAAAAAGTAAAATTTATATTATTACGTATATGTATATTATACATGTATATATAATATTAATAGATTTATCAAATTGTTTCAATATATTTGATTAATACTTAAAATCATATTCAGTTATAAAAATATTTTTTTTTAAAATTATTACAGTAGATATAAAATACATAACTTGTATATATAAAAATAAAGTTTAAATATTAATGTATTATTTATTTATTATTATAAATATTTTTAAGATAAGAAATGTGAATTAAATCATTTTTTTAAAAAAATCAAAAAAAATTAGTATACATTATATAAAGTGTATATAATTTAAAATATTAAATTAAAAATTTTTAATATGAATGACGTGAAACATATTATTTATTTATTTTTTAAAAAACATTATATTGTTATTTAAATAATTTATTTGATTTATTATATTAATTATAATATATTTACGTCATACTTACTAAAATATTATTATTAATTGAAATATTATTATTTTTTTGTTTTATATTTATAATTTATTAACAAGTTTTTCTAATAATAATAATAATAATTATTATTATTATAATGTACTCTAATTGTTATCTCATATTAAAAAATTAAGTACATATTATCAATGAGATCCAAAAAAATAATTAAATAAATTCAATTTGAAAATAAAATAACATAATTATAAACTGAATGTACTATTATTTGTTATCAAATAAATCATTGAATATATAAAATATATATATATATATATATATATATATATATATATATATATATATATATATATATTTAATACACATATACTTACAATTTACTGATAATAAACTCAATGCCATTATAAGTAAAGTTTTGGCTATTTTTATAATTTATTATAAGTTGAGTACAATTTTTTTTAATATACTAAATCATAACAATTAATTTTGAAAATTATTTTATTTTATTTTGTTTTATTTAACAGTATTATGTAATAATATAAAAATATTATTTTCAAATCAAACTGTACTTAAGAAATATTTATTTATTTTTTAAAAATATATAAATATAATTGTAATATTTTTAATTAAAGTTATTATTTTAAATATTATAGATTTTAATTTTATTTTGTTATGATTTTTTTTAATATATTATTTTAATAATAATAATATAATAATAAATTATTTGTGTGTTTGTTAATTATTTTTTTCAATAAAATTATTTTTTATTAAATAATTTATTTAAAATATTATTAAATATTATTAAATAATTTATTAAAAAAATTATTAAATATTATTAAATATTTATAATAATAATAATGTCAATAACACCGGTAACTCACGTAATGTTTGATTTGGACGGCACTATCGTCAACACTATCGATGTTATCGCCGACGTGTTTGCCGATTATGCCCGAAGTCACGGCAAAACACTCGATGAGGACATCCGGAGTAAGTCATTACCACTAACTAAATGTATAGATTTTTTTTGTGTTAAATAATCTATTGTTTAATCTTAATATACTGTACTAATATAGAGGGTATACCCAATTTGAAAAGTATTGTCAAATTTTTCAATCAATTTTTGGACACAATTCACGGCCCGGGCAACGGATCAGTTGACCGAAAGTCAGTAATGCAACAGTTTGTCGACGGGGTTCACCAATCGCCAGCACTGGCGCTCATACCGGGCGTCGACCGACTGGTCGGGCATCTGCGCCGACATGGGATACCGATGGCAGTGGCCACCGGTAACAGTAGTCGGCATATGGCAAAAGTTGCCGCTCGTTTTGGCGACTATTTTCACCGGGGAGTCAACTTTGATCATCTGGTATGCGGTTGGGACGATCCGGATGTCATACGCAAGAAACCCGAACCCGATGTCTACTATGTTTGTGCCAAACGTTTCCAAACACAACCGCAAAGCTTGGATAACGTACTGATTGTTGAGGACTCGTTGACTGGTATTACCGGTGCTTTGGCTACCGGTATGAAAACATTGTTGATTAACGACCGTAAAGATTGTGACTTTGATGCCGTCGCCAATAGGATTACATGTATTGCCGATACGTACGCTAACTTTAGACCCGAATCAGTAGGTCTACCCCCGTATGATATCAATAATAATTAAAGAGAATAATAGATTTTAAATTTTATTTAATTGAAGTTTTATATATATATATATATATATATATATATAAATATTTATTTTATTAATTTATTATAATATTATTTTTGTTTTAATAGCCATTAAAATTAAATAGTTTTTTTTTAAAAAAAATATGATGTTTTCTAGAAAAATAATTATAATTAAACTTATAATTAATATAGTTTTTTAAAAATTATTATTTATTTTTAGTTTTATTACTCTGAATAAATTTTGATTTTTTATTATTATTTATCTATGCGATATAATTATTTTTTTTTTAAAAAACTACATAATAAAGATAAATATTTATTTTGCTTGCTTATTATGTTTTACTTGCAATTATTATAAACCAATATAATTTTTTTAATGTAATAATAATAATAATAACATCATTCATAATATACTGTAATATTTATGATTAAATATTTTATATATAGTTTTATTTTATTTTTTTAGAGATTTATTTGTTGTTATTTTCATTGAAATTATATAATGAATAGACACTTAGATTTTGCCTTAATTACTATATTAATAATTTTAATTTTTTGTTTGTTTGATTATTTTATAATTTTTTTAAAAAATTAAGCTCTTTTTATCTAATTATCAAAAAAAAAAATTATAAAATATTTTTAAAAATATAGCCAATTGTAAAACAATATAATTGTTATCAAATAATTATTGTATATTATAAAAAATATTACTGTATATAATATTACTGTAAAAAATTCAAAAACACAAACATACTGTCATATCATCTTAAATATACAGTATATATATATATATATAAAAGTTATTATCAGAGACACTACTTTCTAGTGTTAATAAAAGTAACCAAAAAATAGGACTAAAAAAACTTATAATTTTAGGGCTATTTCTGTGACTTTCTAGGATTTAAACCAAAAAAAGTTAATTATTTTTTTAGGACTAATAGTTAAAAAAAAATTTTTTTGATTTATTATAACATAAAGTGTACCTTAATTTTTGATCTAAGATATTGAGATACACTACAATAAAAACAGTGGATTTTACTAGAAATTACTGATAATAAAACTCAATGTCATAATAATAATAAAAATAATCAAAGTTTTCTATCAATTTTTTTTTTAATTATTTTATTACTTCACTATTAATTATTTTGTTTATAATAGACTAAATAGTTAAAAACAATTAATCTGTAAATTAATATTACTTTTTTCTACTAAAACTACTACTAATATAACATTTTTTTAAAATAAGTCAAATTGTAATTGAAATCTAATTTTTCAAACATACATATAAATATAAAAGTTATTAAATATATTGTAAAAAAATTAAATAGTTTATATATAAAAATATAAATATATTAAGCATTATTTTTTTTTGCTTGTAATTTATGTCGGTATATACGGTATAAATTAAATCATAATTTAATTATATAATAATATCAACAAAAATAAAACTTATTATAATTAAATATTATTAAATATTAATAATAATAATAATAATAATGTCAATAACACCGATAACACACGTTATATTTGATTTGGACGGCATTATCGTTGATTCAGTCAATTCAATCGTCAATATATTTGTCAATTATGCCCGAAATTACGGCAAAACACTGGATGAGGACATCCGGAGTAAGTGATTACCTACCTCTCCCTCCCCACCCCCACCCCCAGTAGCTTATGTATAGTATAGTAATTTTTTTAAGGCCATAATTTATGATTATCTAACTGTTTGTAATATATTAATACATATATAGAGGGTATACCAAATTTGACAAATTTTTCGGTATATTTTAATAAATTTTTGGACACAATTCACGGCCCGGCGGTCGACGACGGATCAGTCGATAGAGAAACTATAGTCAAGGAGATGATAGACGAGATTTACGAATCGCCTCAGCTGTCGCTCATACCGGGTGTCGACCGACTGGTTCAGCATTTGCGCCGACATAGGATACCGATGGCAGTGGCCACCGGCAACAACAGTCCAAATCTGGCCAAAATTGTTAGGAATTTAGGCGACTATTTTCGCCGTGGAGTGAATTTTGATCATCTGGTATGCGGTTGGGATGATCCCGATGTTAGCCGCAATAAACCGGCACCCGATGTCTACTTTGTTTGTGCTAAACGTTTCCAAACACAACCGCAAAGCTTGGATAACGTACTGATTGTTGAGGACTCGTTGACTGGTATTACCGGTGCTTTGGATACCGGTATGAAAACATTGTTGATTAACGATCGGAAAAATTGCGACTTTGATGCCGTCGCCAATAGGATTACATGTATTGTCGATAGTTTCGATGATTTTAGGCCCGAATCAGTAGGTCTACCCCCGTATGATGATTGAACTAATTAAATGATAATTTAGATTTGAATTTTATTTTAAATAAGTTTTTTTTTGGTATAATAAATAATATTATAGTTATTATTAATTTAGCATGATACTTTTATAATTAGTAATTAAATAATTATTTATTTAATCTAGAAGCTTTGAATGAATATGATATTATATCATTGATATATCTATAAAACTAAAATTAATTAAAAATATTTATTTTTTTAAAAAAATAAAAAATATTAAATTGTTTGCATTTGTTTGTGACTCGGAATAAATTATTATATTTTATGTTTTATTATTTTTATTTGTATCATTGAATTATTAAATATTATTTTTTCTAAAAATTATTTAATAGGTAATTTAAAACAGTCTTATAAATATGATATCAATGATAATTAGATTTTAATTTTATTTAAATAAGTTTTTTTGGTTTTATAAATAATATTATAATTATTAGTAATTTAGCATGATACTTTTCTAATTAGCAATTAAAAATTAAATAATCATTTATTTTATCAAGTAGCTTAATGTATATGTTTTGTATAAAATAAAATAAATTAAAAATATAATAATAATAATATTATTATTATTACAAATATAATGATTTTTTATCATTCAGTTACTCGCAATAAAAATTATTATATAATTTTTATGTTTTATTTATTTATTTAATTGAATTATTAAATATGTTTTAAAATTAATTAATTATGTATTTTAAAAGCGTCTAATAAAAATAAATTACTTTTAGTTGTTATGTTTACAAAAAAAACATGTTTTGTATAAATAAAAGTAAATATATATTATTTGTGTCAATATATGCACTGATATAATTTGAATTATGAGTTGTGGTAGTGATTGTGACAAAAATAAAATAATTACAACAAAAAAAAACAATTAACAGTAAATTACAAATTATATGATAGTTATTGTGATTTAGAAAATACTGTATTTATTTAATATAAATTTTGTTAATTATAAATCATATTATATATGAATTTTGTTTTGTTTTTTTTTAATTATTTTTAGACTTTATTAATATTATTTTTATTTATCAATATATAAGTACATTATGTAACAGAACACTAGAAATTTTTTTTATATATATATATAGTTTAAAAATATGTGTAAAAAATTAATATTTAATTATAAGATAATTAATTAATTAAAAAAACAAAATTGATATAAAGAAAATATTTTGATAAGTATATCATATTTTTTATGCTATATATATACTGTACTCAGTATATACAGTATAAGTATTTATTTGATAGATTTAAAGTATAATATGTCATCGGTAACAACACATGTGATATTTGATTTGGACGGCACATTGATTAACACAATGGACACAATGGCCAAACAAATTGCAATTTATGCCAATAGTTTCGGTAAAACTGTATCACCGGATCTAATAAGTAAGTTATATAACAATATATATAACAATATATATAACAATATATATATATATCAAAATATACTTATATTTAACAAAATAAAGTATTACAATATAAAGTATAACAATATATATATATATAATCAATTTGTCAATTTGAAAATATAAAAAAGTTAAAAATAATAATTAATAATAATTAATATATAACTATAAATTAAAATCTAAATAAATAATAATAATATATTGTTAAATATCAGTGATAAAAAAAATTAATTTATCATGATAACTTTTTCATTGAACAAAATTAACGTCATTCAATTAACCACATTTGAAAATTTGTATTTATATTTTAATTTTAACCAATATCTATTAATATAAATTATAATATATATATATATATATATTTGTAATTTTGATCACTGATATAAATTATATATAAATAACTTATTGTATATTATATGTATATAGTATATTATATATATATATTGTATATTATAGATATATATTGTATATTATATATATAACTTATTGTATATTATATATATAACTTATTGTATATTATATATATAACTTATTGTATATTATATTAATATAAAATTTATATTCATATATTAGATAATATTATCACATCACCAAACAGTCAACCATATTATAATGAATTTATGAATCAAATTCATGGTCCCGGAGCCCCCCGTATACCAGATCCTAATGAATTTGAAGAATCCATTTTAGACCAGACATACGAGTCGCCAGATTTAGCACTCATACCTGGAGTCAACCGACTTGTTCAGCATCTGTACAGACACAACATACCGATGGCCATAGCATCGGGCGGTATTGGACGTCATTATGAGTCGTTGTTGTTAAACAAAAATTTTGGCAATTATTTCGAGGAAGGCCTACATTTTAGTCACGTAGTTATGGGTTGGGACGATCCGGATGTTGTACGCAATAAACCCGCTCCGGATGTCTACTATGTTTGTGCTAAACGTTTCCGAACACAACCGCCGCTAAGCTATGATAACGTACTGATTGTTGAGGACTCGCTAATCGGTATTACCGGTGCATTGGCTACCGGTTTGATGAAAACATTGTTAGTTAACGACCAAAAACGGACTAACTTTAAGGGATTGACAGATAGGATCACATGTATTGCCAATAGTTTCGATGATTTTAGGCCCGAATCAGTAGGTCTACCCCCGTATTATGATTGAACTAAATGATAATTAGATTGAATTTTTTTTTTAATTTAAATAAGTTTTTTTAGCATGATACTTTTATATAATTAGCAATTAAAAAATTATAAATAATTATTTATTTAATCTAGAATCTTGAATGAATATGATTTATGTATAAAACTAAAATTAAAAACATTTTTTTAAAAATTAAAAAATACTTAAATTATGAATGATATCTAAATGAATAATTAGATTGAATTTTATTACAAATAATATTGTTTTAATATTATAAATAATATTATAGGTTATTATTAATTTAGCATGATACTTTTATATAATTAACAATTAAACTATTTAATAATAATTATTTATTTAATCCAAGTACCAAAAAAATATGTTTTGTAGAAAACTAAATATATATAAAATAAATAATATTATCAATTAATTATAAATCAATTCAAGTTTTTTTATAATTTATAAATAATTATTTTTTAAAAAATATTGTTTAACTTACAAATATAATAACTTAATAGGCATTTATTATATAAAATAATAATAATAATAAAAGTTTTATTTTTTGATAATTATGTTATAATTTTTTTAAGCAAATTTTATATATTAATAATTAATATTATTTTATAATAAAAAAATTAAAATTAAGTACATATTATTCAATATTTAAATATCCAAAATAAAATATTTTTTTTAAAAATATAGCCAATTTATATAAGTATATTTTTTATATTGTTTAGGGGGGGTAATTCACATATTACGATCGCACTTGATGGAGGTGGGTGGGGGTTCGGCAACAAAAAAAAATCTGATTTATTAGTTTAAAAAACTTTTTTTTTAAACATAGATAACTATCGTTGAGTATATCTAAAGATTTTTTTTGTTATCAAACTAAAACATGTTTAATGTTTAGTAATAATATAAATAATTATATATAATATTTCCAAATATTATGATATCTAAATATCTAAATTCAACAACAAATAAAACACATTACATACAGTATAACAAATTTTAAAGTACAGTATAATTATTACAGTACTAAATGATTATAAAATTCAATGCCATAATAATTATGAAGTTTTTCTATTTTTATTATTATTATTTGATTAATTTAACTATTAATTATATACAGTATTTTGTTTATAATAGACTGAATCATTTAAAAAAAATCTAATAATAATATTAACATTAATTTATTTAAATAAGTAAAATTGTAGTTGAAAGCAAATTTTTGCAAATATATATAAACATACAGTATATATTGTACAGTAGTTTAATCAAAGTTAGATAATCATAGATATATATTTTTTAAATCAAGATTTTATTTTTTTTAATATTGATATATAAATTGCCAAAAAATTGTTTATATAAAAAATAATTTACAGAGAAATTTTCTGTTTGTTTGTTATTTATTAATTTGTATTTTTCTAAAAAAAAAATATTAATAAATTGTGTAAATATTAATTAATAAAAATAATAATTAAATATTTATTGTAATAATTGAATATAAATCATAATATTAATTCTAAATATTAATTAAATATTAATTATAATAATAATTAAATATTAAATCTAAATAATAATTATAACAAATAAATATTAATTCTAAATAATAACTTTAATAATTAAATAATAATTTTAATAATTAAATAATAACTTTAATAATTAAATAATAACTTTAATAATTAAATAATAACTTTAATAATTAAATATTAAATCTAAATAATAATTATAATAATGTCAATAACACCGATAACACACGTTATATTTGATTTGGACGGTACTCTCGTTAACACAATTAATTCAGTCGGCTATGTGTTTGCCGATTATGCCCGAAGTTACGGCAAAACACTTGATGAGGACATCCGGAGTAAGTCAATTACCAATAACTAAATATATATATATATATATATATATATATTTAATATACTATTTTATTATAGATGGTATACCATCATTGAAAAGTATACCAATATTTTTCAATAAATTTTTGGACACAATTCACGGCCCGGCGGACAACGGTTTAGTCGACAGACAGACTGTAGTCCAAGAGCTGGTCGACAGGGTTTACGAATCGCCTGCACTGTCGCTCATACCGGGTGTCGACCGACTGGTCCGGCATTTGCGCCGACATAGGATACCGATGGCAGTGGCCACGGCCAACACCAGTCAAAACATGGCTAGACTTTCTGGCCAGTTTGGCCAATATTTTCGCCAGGGTATCAATTTTGAGCATATGGTAAGCGGTTGGGACGATCCGGATGTTAGGCGCCAGAAACCCGAACCCGATGTCTACTATGTTTGTGCCGGACGTTTCCAAACACAACCGCTAAGCTATGATAACGTACTGATTGTTGAGGACTCGTTGACTGGTATTACCGGTGCTTTGGCTACCGGTATGAAAACATTGTTGATTAACGACCGGAAAACTGTCAACTTTGATGCCGTTGCCAATAGGATTACATGTATTGCCGATAGTTTCGATGATTTTAGACCCGAATCAGTAGGTCTACCCCCGTATGATGATTGAACTAAAGGGTAATTTAGATTTGAATTTTATTTTAAATAACTTTTTTTCGCATGATAATTTTTTTTTATAATTAGCAATTTTAAAAAAAAAATTAAATACTTTTTTTATTTAATCTAGAAACTCTATGAATATGATTACTAAAACTAATTAAAAATATTTATTTTTTTTAAATTAAAAAATATTAAATTGTTTGCATTTGTTTGTGACTCGGATATCAATAATATATCAAACAATTTGTAAATAATAATAATAAATTAAATTTTATTTAATTAAAATATTTTTTATATATATATTTAAATTTATAAATAATATTAAGTTTTATGACTCTCTCCTGTATGATAATTAATAAAGCAATAATTAATTACTAAATAAATATGATATTATATTTATTATTATTATTATTATTATTAATCTTAAGACTCAAATAATTGTTTTCAGTAATTTAATAAATAATTTTATGAAATTGTTTGTTTTAATTTTTTTTATTAATAATTATTATTATGTTGTAATAATAATATAATAATATAATAATTATAAATTTAAAATTATAATCAATAATAAAAATATTATATATTCAGGTTTTTACAACATTTATATAATTTTTTTTTTAAATTTAATTAATTACTTGTATTAATGTTTTAATAATAACAATAATATTTTTCTGCACCTATCAATATACTAATTAAATTGTTTAGTATATAAATTTAAAATTACAACTAAAAAATAAAATTATATAAATAACAAAACAGGTGCTCACGTTTTTTTTTTAAAAAAATAAAAAATTTTATGTTGTCAATCAAATTAGGTGCATATTTTTTTTTGAAGGACAAACTAATTTAAACATCTAGTATTTAATATCTATATATATATATATATATATATATATATATATATATATATATATATATATAATTTATACAACAACAAAAATGTACTTGCCAATATCAAATTTTATTTTTACATTTAACATACATTGCACTTTACATAATCTATTATATATATATATAGGTATATATTATAAATTCTACAATATCTATAGTATAAAGTTATAATTTATTCAAAATATTTCGCAAAAATTTCCTTTTTTTTATAAAAACTACTAAATGAAAAAAAAATTGTATATCAGGTTATTGTAGTTATTGTTAAGGTCATTAGTTACACACACACTTACATACATACATACAAACACATACACACACATACATACACACACATACACATACATATACACACATACACACACATATACACACATACACACACATACATACACATACATACACATACACACACATACACACACATACACACATACACACACATACACACACATACACACACATACACACAAATACACACACATACACACACATACACACACATACACACACATACACACACATACACACACATACACACACATACACACACATACACACACATACACACACACATACACACACATACACACACATACACACACATACACACACATACACACACATACACACACATACACACACATACACACACATACACACACATACACACACATACACACACACATACACACACACACACACACACACACACACATACATACATATATATAACTAGTTATTGACATCACAGTAAACGCTTATATCATTATATTATTTAATATTATTCTGTAAATAGAAATTACATTTTTTATTTAAAAAAAATTGTTTACAGATTAACAAAAGTATTACAAAACTATATTATTATTTTTTTAAAATATATATATATATATATTAATATATAAAAACTGGTTAAACAAAATATATTATCATTAAATAACACTAATAATAGATTCACACAATCAGTATATATATATTGTAACATAGGTTATGTTGAATAATCATTATTTATCTGTCAATCTATTGAACTTAGTTGATGCTAAATAATTTAAAATTATTATTTTTTAAAAAGAAAAAATTTTCCATGATAATTTAAAATATATATATATATATATTATTGATATATAGTAGTAATAATTTTAAACATTTTGAATATATATTTATATATAGTCATCAATATTAAGTTAAAAAAAATTATTATTAAAAACTTAGAAACAATGCCACAAGTTAACGATAAACAAGGTAATTAATTTTATTTATTTATTTATAAAGTTTTATAAAAATTATTTTAATTATATTAATTCAATTTAAATAAGCTATTTTTAATTGTTTTTTCTAAAAAAATTAACTATAAAATACTACTGTAATAATTAATATTAATCTTTTAGAAATATAAGCTTTTAATCTTTTATAAAAATTTATTATTATTTTGTAGTTAAACTAAAAAAATATCTTATTTATAAATTATATCTTAAAATCATGATATAGTTAATCATATTTTTGTTTCTAAAAAAAATACAAATAATATTTATTAATTTTTAATTTGATAAAAAAAAGTACATTGATAAAAATATAAATAACTTTTTTCAAAAAAAAAAATAATACTTAATTGTTATCTATAACCTAATAAACAATTTTGTTTTTGTTTTCATACATTATAATTGAATAATATATCTTAATTAAAATATCTAATTGTTATTTTTTTTATTGATATAGAAATAGTTGGAAAAAACAATTTAATTAACAATTGCGACAAAAAACTGCGATACTATCCGTGCAAATATCCCGTTCCCAAGTTTACGACAGCCTTCCTATTCAGCCGATGTCCGATCGACATCACACACGAACATCTGCTCAGGCAATGGGCAGACAAACAGTTTAGGGGAAGTCAGATATCGGCCAAAATCTACGGGAAACTGGAATCGGTATCGTTGATGCCGGCATTCATACTGCCCTACTGTCCCCGTGTGGATAAATACTATACTATGGTACAGATGTTTATGTATTTTTTCATACTCGATGATCACAACGAAGAAGATTGGGGTCAGGCTATCGATTTGGTCAGTTGTCGCCGGGTATGGGGTCAAGTGATGGCACTGTTAAGGTCAATCGGTACTGGCCGATCGGCCGGGTATTACGACCAATTTCGGTCGTACGTTAGGAGCGGTTACGAAATATTTTACGAGATTTACAGATCGTATAATTCGGATCAATGGTTACGGTTTGTTCAGGTATGGGATGACTACTGTGCCGGCAATGTCGAGGAACGGCAACTGTTTGACGATAGGCACGGATCGCCAGTTACGTTGAATGAAATACTTGAAGTAAGTGTTGATTTATTTAATAAAATTTTTTTTTTATTTAATTAATTAATTATTTTTTAAAATTATATAAATATATTTTTTTAAATTATATAAATATATTTTTTTAAATTATATAAATATATATTTTTTTAAATTATATAAATATATATTTTTTAAAATTATATAAATATATATTTTTTAAATTATATAAATATATATTTTTTTAAATTATATAAATATATATTTTTTTAAATTATATAAATATATATTTTTTTAAATTATATAAATATATATTTTTTTAAATTATATAAATATATATTTTTTTAAATTATATAAATATATATTTTTTTAAATTATATAAATATATTTTTTCAAATTATTTAAATTTATTTTTTAATATTTTGGTTAGTTAGTGTGTGTGTGTTTTAAAAATATAGTAATAAAATATTTTTTTAAACTTTTTTATTATTGATATTTCTATAGTAATGTTACATGGTAATTTTTGTTTAGTTTATTAAACGCTACCTTAAATTATTTTTAATATAGCAATTAATATGAATTATTTCATAAATTTAAAATTTAAAAAACAACAATTTATTTTATCTAATTTATCTATAAAAATAGTTATAGTTATAGTTATATTTTAATGGATAATTATTTAGTCACAGTTTAAAAGTATATCAATAAAATAGTAATAAATAATTTACTAATTAGACATTTATAAATATTTATATCTAATTAGATATATTAAGTACAAAAATATAATTAATATTTTAAGTTAATATATAAAACTTTAATAAAAATATATTTAATTAATTTAATTTAATTAATTTAATTAATAGATACGTAAAAAAGCTGCCGGTGTTCGCACTTGTTTTGTTGTATTAGAGTACTTACACGACTATGTATTACCCGAAACCGATTGGCTCGACCCACGGCTACAACAGCTTATGGATCTAACTGTTTTGCATATACTCTATGTTAATGATTTGTTTTCGTTTAACAAAGAGTTGGTATCAGTGGGCAAACTGTTGGCCAAATTGTCAACCGATGGTACCAATGGTTTAGATTTAGTGGATATCAATGATATCGACGAGTCGACTATTTTGCGACATATGTATAGCAATACAGTTGCGGTGACGGCAGTTAACGAGGGCTGTAGTATTCAAGAGGCTATGCAAACAATCATTGATAAAGTGATTGAATGCGAATTGGATATCATTAGGATTGCCAAACAATGGATAAGTCCGGTATCGGGTCATCAACAACAACAAGAGTCCCGTTCCTGTCCCGTAGATCCAGTGCCCTGTTGTTGGCAAACCAAATCGTTTATACTATCGCTGATAGCCCAGTGTTCGGGTAATTATAAGTCAAATACGGTAACCGATCGCTATATGGTTGTCGGCAGCACTAAAACCATTGGCCAACACTTGACTTGGGATTGAAATTAATTATTTGCAACAACAAAAAATAATTGCAATAATTTATAAATATTAATTTAGTTAATAAATAAAATATACTGTATATTATATATATATATATACATCAATCATTATTATTTTATTTGTTTAATACAATATATTATAATATGTTTAATTTTTTTTATAAAAAATTATTACATTGCAATTTGATTTAATAATAATAATAATATATAATATAATATAAACTAATAAATTTTATTATTAGACTATATTATAACTATATTTTTTATAAATATTTTAATTATATATATACATATATATAAATTATTTTTGATTTTAGGTATCATTGACACATACTGTACACACACACACACACACACCAAAAAAATCATTTATTATTTTTTATTTAATAATAAWAATAATATWTAATATAATATAAACTAATAAATTTTATTATTAGTTTATATTATAACTATATTTTTTTATAACTTTTAATATATTTTTCGGACAAATAACTGGTTCATGTAATAATAATAATTAATATAATATTATTGTAAATATTAATTATATTTAATAAATTTAATTTTCTTATATTAAATTAATTAAATTATATTATCTATAGTAGCAATCAGTAATATTATAAACATTAAGTTATAATTTTATTTTTTATTTTTTTAAATTATAAATTCTATTTTAAACAATTTAAAAACAATAATAAAATAAACTAGTTTAATTTTAATAATGCAAAAAAAAATAATTATAAATACAATACTAATTTTTATAAAAATAAATAAATAATGTACTAGTTTATTTTGTAAATTAATAATAATTTTTAATTACTAAATAAAATAAATTTATATAAAAAAATTATAAAATTATTTTTTAAAAAGTAAACTAGTTAACTTAAACATAAATTTTTTTTTTAAAAATATTCTAAACTTAATTATTATATTCTAATTACAAGTAGAATAAAAATCAATATATTATTTAGTACATCATACATATAAAAAAAATATCATAAATTACGTCTATATATAATAAAAATATAATACGCTTGCGCTACGTACATTTAAAAATAAAACAGTTTGATTATATTCAAAACCAAAACAATAATGGTCAGCCATTAAAACAATGTAAGTGTATGTAGTGTATATGCGCACAATATTAGTGTTTAATGTTTAGATGGGGGGGCGGAGTTTAAAAATTTTTTTTATTATTATTATACACACACTATTTTATTTGTATGTATACACACACACACAGTATTAAGTGTAATCTATGCTAAAAAAATCTATGTCTATGCTTGTGATGCTTCTACTAATATTTGTGTTTTGGTTTTGAATATAATCTATATTTACTACAGTATTACACACTCTGTATATACTGTAGTAATGTATTAATAAAATGATTGACTCATTGAATACATTGAAAAACATTGAACACTACTATCACTACCACTACTACTGCTATCGACAACAACAACAACAACAACAACAATACCAACGATAAGATTGGGTTAAACCTCTTCAGCAAAACAATCAATCAATCAATCAATTGTCTGATTATTACCACTACTTTGTGAATCGGGTGTAGTGACCAAAACAAACAACCAATCAAATTATGGCCGACGCCGAAGCCAAAGGACAACAATATTTAGCCGAAGCCCAGAAAAAACTTCGGTCTTCGCAGGGATTCTTCGGCGGTCTACTCGGGTTTGTATATTATTTTCAAATTTTTTTCTTAACCGCCGCTGCTGACCACCAATTGATTGATTGATTGATTTGATTGAAAACAAATCATTAATATTTATTCGGGTGACTAATCTGTTTGTTTTGTTTTGGTTTTTTTTTTGGTGACCAAAGCGGCGGTTCCCGTCAGGACGAAGCTATTGAACTGTATGTGAGAGCGGCCAACAGTTTCAAGATGGCCAAGAAGTGGAACGGTATGGACACGACTACTACTACTCCTACTGATCCTAATTTGATTTGAATACTAACTGTTTGTTTTTTATATATCCATTTCTCTCTCTGTCTCTCWCTCTGTCTCTCTCTCTCTCTTCTCTCTCTCTCTCTCTCTCTCTCTCTCTCTCTCTCTCTCTCTCTCTCTCTCTCTCTCTCTCTCTCTCTCTCTCTCTCTCTCTCTCTCTCTCTCTCTCTCTCTCTCTCTCTCTCTCTCTCTCTCTCTCTCTCTCTCTCTCTCTCTCTCTCTCTCTCTSTCTCTCTCTCTCTCTCTCTCTGTCTCTCTCTGTTTMTCTCTTTCTCTCTGTTTATATCTCTTTCTCTCTCTGTTTATCTCTCTCTCTCTCTCTCTCTCTCTCTGTTTATCTCTGTCTCTCTCTGTCCTCCCGCCGACAACCACTGACCATCTCAATGATGGACCACCCGATTGATTGGTTGGTTATCTTTCATCTCTCCGGTAATTCACAAACACACACACACACACAGCGGCCGGCAGTGCATTCTGCGAGGCGGCTGTCCTGCACTTGAAGAGCGGCAACAAACACGACTCTGGTTCGGCCTTTGTCGACGCCGGGAATTGTTTCAAAAAGGCCGACCCCCAGGAAGCGGTCAACTGTATTATGAAAGCCATCGAAATCTATACGGATATGGGCCGGTTTACTATTGCGGCCAAACACCATATGACTGTTGCGGAAATCTACGAAACCGAGTGCGTGGACATTGAAAAAGCGTTGACACACTACGAACAGGCGGCCGATTACTATAAGGGCGAAGAATCCAATACTAGCGCCAACCGATGTCTGTTGATTGTTGCCCGATATGCTGCCCAACTGGAACAGTACCAAAAGGTTGTTCACGTGGTGCTCCCGTGACCCGTGATATTGTTGTTTTACCGATAACTTACCGATAATTATTTCTATATATACAGGCAATCGATATCTACGAATCGGTAGCCAATTCATCGATTGAGTCGCCACTGTTGAAGTATGCGGCCAAAGATTATTACTTTCGGGCGGCGCTGTGTCACATGTGTATCGATTCGTTGAACGCTCAGATGGCCGTCAAAAAGTACGAAGAAATGTATCCGCAGTTTACCGACGCCCGGGAATGTAAACTAATTAAACAGTTGTTGGAAAAGCTCGAAGAGGCCGATGTGGACGGCTTTACGGCTGTCATACAGGACTACGACTCGATTTCACGACTGGATCAATGGTTTACAGCCATACTATTGAAAGTTAAGAAGCAAATAGAGTCAGATTCGGATATGAAATAATAATAAGAGATCCAAACCGTGTGTGTGTCTATGTGTCGGATCTCATATCAAAAGTAGATTAAAATATATATATAATTATATATATATATATATATATACATATATTTAAAATTAATGACCAGATTTAAGACAGAAAAGTATATAGATATATAATAACTATTATTATTATTTAATTATTATTTTGATTTTTTTTTTTTTAATTACAATTATTATGATTGTGTAGTAATGTTTGTTTTTTTTATTTCAAAAAAAATACTACTAATTGATTGAGTGATTTACAACATATGTTTTTTTTGGTGACAATTTTTTTTTCAATTAGATTTGAAATGTTTGGTTATGTTGATCACCTATTATGAGATCTCATTGTAAGACTATATACCACCCCCTTTGGTATCCCCCCTATGGGTTTTTTCATCAATGAGATCTCAGATTTATTTAGTTAATAATAATAATAGTGATCGATATAACCGATTATTATTATTATTATTATTATTGATACAGATTTAATCATTAAAAACATTAAAAGACAAATTTAGTTTAATTACTACACAATTTATAAATAATGTAATTTTTTTAAGTAATTTTTTTTTATATATTTATAATTATATGTTGATATTATTATTATTTATTTTTGTTGTTAATTTGTTAAGTGATTTTCAATAATAACAACAAATTAAATTGATTATTTTAAAAGTTTAAATTAATTTTTTGTTCCGATTATTTACCGGGTAATATTTGTTATGATTTATCGGTAAATTACGGTAATGTTTGTTTTCGGGTACAAATAAGTTACCAGTATCAATCTACTATAAAAAAATAATTACCGCGGTAGATTTCTGTATATTTACATAAATGTTTTAAACACAAATAATTTTTTTTTAAATAATTTGCTAAACATTCCAGTTATGTTTTGAGATTTAAAAAAAAACATTACATAACTATTTAATTATTAATTTTAACAAATTATTTAAAATTTTTATTTGATTGAAATGTTTAATATATTTTTTCAAAACTTTATTATTAGCTTATAATTGTTAGATAGTGTTAATAATTATTATATAATATTATTTGATTGATTGACTATTAATTGGAGGATAATAATTATTGATATATTATGCATAATAAGCATATTTAATATTTTGAAAAAAATTATATCTATATTATTTTATTTTTTGTTATAAAATTATATTTTTAAAAAAATTTACATATCGTTTTTATTTTTAAGGTTAAAAAAACAATTATAATTGTTTAATTTAAATTATTATTTACAGTAATCTACACTCAAATTATTATTATTATTACTGTAATTAAACTTGGTAAAATTTATAAACATATTGTACTTATATAATACACTAATATAATTAATAATATATATATATACATATACTGTAACTTTAAATACAGTATAACATAAATATAAAAATATTTATTATTATTATTATACTGTATTAATAATTCTGTAATTATAAATCACTATAATATATATATATATTAATATATAACTAAATTATAGTTTTAAAAAAACTGTTGTTGTAAACTAATGTCATATAATAATATATTATATAATAATATGTTATAAATATTAGTATTGATTTATTAAAAACTAATAACACATATTTATTAATTATAATATGATAAATACATTTACAACAACAAAATGGTTGCATAAGCCGGGAATTTAGTAATAAATATAATAATAATTACATTATTATTATTATTATTATATATAAAAATTAATATCAGTACAAATGTTATTGATATTATTACATTATATTTATGTAAAATATATTAACTTATGTAAAACATTATATTTAAAAAATTATATAACAAATATTATTATTATTAAAAATATATGTCTATTTAAATGTTATGCGTAAACTTATATATATATTTTATTAATAGGTTTTTTAAAAAAAATTAATTAATTATAATTATCAAAATTATAATTTTTATTTATCATTGATTAATTCAATTTGTTTTTAAAAAAATTGTTTAAATAATTATGTTTGTTTTGTTTAAATTAATTAATAAACAACAAAAAATTTATAATTTAAATATATTTTTTTAGAGACACTTTTTTATAGTAAAAAAATTTGATATTTATTTAAATTAATTTTAGTTTACCTGTAATACCTAAATAATAATTTGTATAATACATATACAGTATTATTATTATTATAAATATCAATGAGTTTTCATTGTTATACATATGATATATAAAAAAAATTATATTATTAATATATTATACGGTATTTTTTTAATAATTATTATTTTATTTAAATTATTTACTAATTAAATATTTAATTTTTCATTGAATAAAATTATAAAAAATATTATAATCATTATTATTATTATTATGAAAAGCTATTCATTTGAAACAAAATGTTTCTCTAATAAAAATAAAAAATAAAATACAATTTCGTGTCAAAACTATTATTAAAAATTTAATATAAATTAAATAATCAAAAAAAATTTTAATAAAACATTACATTTCATTGATTTTTGTTTTCATTTTGTTGAACAGTAAGTGAATAAATGCATAAATATTTTTTAAAAAAAAATAATATCTAAAACATCATTACTATTAATGATTAAATAAAAACAATATTTTTTTATTCATAGTCATGTTATTTTGTCGTTATTTTATAGTTAATATATATATACTAAACAAAAGTCATTTTATTATTATTATTATTATTATTATATTATAATAATAATAATTGTAATTATTATTAAAGTAAATATTATTTTTTTTTAAAATTAAAAATATAATAAATACGTAGATAATTTTAATTTAGAAAATATCTATCACCTATATTGTAGTAGTTATATAATAATAGTTATAATAATAATTATTAATAAATATTATAATAATATCAATAATGTAGTATTAAATTATTAAATATATATATATATCTATATAATATATAGGAGCATATTATACACACACACACAAAATTGCTATAATATAATTAAATTAAATATCATATACAGTATATATTTAATTGATATTATATCCTGAATATTGTAATTAAAAAAAATTAATTAGAAAATAATTAGCATAATTAACAGGAAAACAACAACAAAAAAATAATACATAATTAATAACAAACATAACATATCTAAAAAACTTGTAGTAAAAACATATCTCTCTCTCTCTCTCTCTCTCTCTCTCTCTCAAATCACCCGTTCCCTCTCTCCCCCACCCCACCCCMCCCCCACCCGATCACCATCTAATTGGACAGGTGGTCATGTTTGACCAGATCGTATTTGTCGTCCGATTTGTTTTTGTTGTTTTTAAGCGTATCCTTCAAGTCGTTGATTATGATACGCGGCGCCGGAAATCTCGGTATTGAATTATTGCCGCCACCACCGCTGCCGCCGTTTTTGTTGGCCGACATTGTTGTGGTAAACGGCGACGACGACGACAACTGTCGGCGCCTGCGTCTATTGCACAAGGCTACCAGTGCCATGATTACCAACAGTAGCGGCAATATAATGGCCAAAATGGCCATTACGTAAGCGGCAAAACGTAGCCACCAGTAGCGCCTGTGATAGACCGGTCGGTTTTGATTGTCACTGTCGTTATCATCGCTGCCGTCCGGGAATATCCACCAAATAATTGTTGTCTTTTCGGTAGTTTCTTGCGGTTTCGGCACCGATAGGGCCGGCGGCTGCGGCGGTTGACAACTGGATTTAAAGTGTACCAAATTGGTGTCGCACTGACACGTTTTGTTGGCCATCTGGTTGTTGTCGTCCCGTTTTCCGGTACAAACCGTATTGGCGTCAATGGCCTGACATTGGGCGTCCTGAGCGCACGTTTCGTTCAACATTTTCGGTGCCAAACATTGCCATTCGCCGTAGTCCGGGTCCATTACCTGTGCGTACTGTACGCCCAGCAAGTAGTCCATACGGCACTGGCATACAGTTCCCAAATCGTTGTCGTCACCAATGTCTTCACTGTTTCTCTCAGTGCGCATACAAAACATATTTTCTCCACAATCCGAGTCCGTTATACAACTGGCGTCAATGGGTTGACCTGTTTTTTTTGTGGGGATCAAATCAAATGCTTAGGAAACAGGTGTCTGAATAGGTATACATACCGGGGAAGCGTTTGAGATAACTGAAACCGTAGGCCGTTTCGACCACCAAATCGGTGTGTCCGTTATCCGGCGTAATATAGGCATCGCTAGCACCGCAAGTGATCCTCATCTCTCTGAAACCATTACTGGCCATACGATAGGTCGTATAGAAGACATCGACTTCGACAGCCGACCAACAATACTGACGACTCGTAGCACAGGTACCGTTATCTTTGCGCAGTCGACCTAACGGTGTCGACCATTCGAACAACGGCTGGTTAATCTGTGGACCGGTAGATGTTGTCCACTCAACAGTTTCGCCCCTATCGTTACATAATCGTACCAAACATTCCAGCCGTTGAAATCTACCGTTCCTCGAGGACAGGAACGATGGCTTAACATCAGTACATAGATGCAGATTTTGGGTGCGCTGGGCTATGAAACTGGATGTAGTGGGTGTCGGTGTCGGTGCCGTACTACTGGGGTTAGTAGTAGTCGTAGTACTACTACTAGTAGTAGTAGTAGTAGTCGATGATACCGTATCGGTATCGGAATCGACGGTAGCTGTAGTCAATCTACCGGTGCCGGCAATAGTAGACAATAGTAGTGGTAGTAGACAAACAAATCGGTACATATTTTTTTCATACACACTCACGAAAAATAATTAAATTAATTAGTTATTTATTAAACTTTTTTTTGTTGTTTTAATATCGCATATAATTTTTATTAACACAAAAAAAGTTTAGACACACACTCTCTCTCTCTCTAACTTTCTCTCACTATATGAATGTTTTATAATAATAATTGCCAATAAAATTGCTATTGTGTTGTAAGCTATGAAAATATATATTTTTTATTTTAATTATTATTATTATTAGTAGTAGTAGTAGTATTAGTATTTCAAACTAACATTAAATATGTTGTATTAATAATGAATAGGTATGTAATAGTCACCGGATTCAATGATTTGTAATAATAATAATAATAATAAATAATAATTGAATATTTCTTTTTTAATTTTATTGTACTCTCATATTATAATGATATGTATAAGTAATTCAATAGATAGACACACAAAAAAATAATAATTAAAGTAAACACTCAGTATAGCAAACTATTTTATATATATATATATATATACCTTAAATATCACTTAAATAAAAGTTATAATATTTTTTTTGTATCTAAAATAATTTTTTTCTATCTATCTCTAATTTTTAAAAACAATATAATTTGTTTAGTATTATAATCTACAGTATATATATATTTGATATAATATAATGATAAAAAAAATATTCACAAATAAATATAATAATAGCAAAAATTTTTATTATTTTTTTTTTGTTACAACAATTATAATACCAATAAAATATTAGCTGGATTTTGGCCAAATAATTTTGCTGTTACTAATTATATAATTATAAATAGATATATATATAAAGTTATATTTTTTGTTTTTTTTTTAAATTTTACACTAAAAGAGTATTCACTGTATATTAATATAGAGTACAGTAGTATACAGTATATTATAATATATATAATGAGATTTCTTTATAATGTATTTATTAATAATTATTATTTATTTTATTTTTATATAGTCATCATTGAAAACAATATTTTTTTTGTAGCTATGTTTTAGGATTTTTTATATTTTTTCGTTAAAATCTATATTTTATATATTTTCTAGTCTACTATAATATATATATATATATTTGTTAGTATACCTTATTCCCTGATATCTAATAGTAATACAATTATTATTATTATTATTATTATTATTAAATATAAAAATTATTATTTACTATTAAATGCATTGTCACGAAATCTAATAAATACTTTAGTAGTTTATATGTCATGTTATTTAGCAGTACATGTATATAACAAAATAAAACAACAAAAAGTTTATTTTATAAAACAATATTTAACTATTAAATTAGTTGATCTAAACAATAACAACAACACAAACAAATTGTCAAAATTATATATTTTGAAATAAAAATGTCTATAATTTAGATAATTATATGTCAATTATATTTTTCAAAATTATATGAAAGAATATTACAGAATATTTTTGTTGTTATAATGTATTTAAAAATGTTTAATAAATTTATAATAGTTTTATTTTTTTATTATTATTTTTATTAATATACATATATATATCAAATACCATATCAAATAATTATCATATTTGAATTACCACACAATCAGTTATGAAAGTATTATTATTAAAAAATTAATTTAAATTAACAAAAAAATGTAAATTAAATAATTTGATACTTTATGTATTATTATTATTAACAAAATATCGTATACTAAATCTATAATATAAAATAAAATTAATTTAAAATATACATAATTAAAATGAACATATAATATAATATAATAAATATATTATAATGATTTTAAATTAATTAGATAATTATGTAATGATAAATAATCAAAATTAAATAGTTAAATAATAATAATAATAATTAAAATAATCGACTATTTGATTTACTATAAAATACATTACTATTGATAAATTAATAAACATGAATATAATTATTGTTTTTTTTATAAAATAACAAAAAAAATATTTAATAAAATTAATTTTTTTTATATAATAATTGCAAAATTAAATTTATAAATAATATGACAAAAATAAATATAATTAAATACAATATTTATAGATAATAATAATAATAATAATAATAATGATAATTAATTGATGAGACAATCAATTTTATTTTATTTTTAAGATAATATACTTATTTATAAACTGTACTTTCACTTAATAATCATTAACCCATTAATTACAAACAAATTTAATTTAATAATAATAATAATAATAATATATCACAATTTTATCGTCTATTTAGTTATAATTTATAAATACATATTTAATTATATATATCTTATAATAAGTTGTCTATCATTGTGTTTGTATACTTAAAACTTACTGTAATTTGCAATTTGTTTTTATAAATGTGTATTATTTGTATGTCAACAAAATTATTTGTTTTTTAAATTATTTAATATTATTATACAAATAATAAAAACTTTGTGTCAAATATTATTATTATTGACAATATATATATACACACAAATTAAAGTTGTTTTTTAAAATTAATGTTTTATACAATTTACAATACAATATAATATATATTATAAAATACAAAATATAGATTTGTGTTATCAAAAAAAAAAAAATTATGAAAAAAATAAAACAAAACTTTTTTTTTTATTAAATTAAAATTTTAAACTATAGTCTACTAATATAACTTGTAATATATAATACTTAATTTAATTTATTGGTAAAAAATTAATTTAAGATTAAATATCAAAAATCTAAAAACAAGATTAATATATAAAAAAAATAAATTTATTTTTATTTTATTTAAATACAAAAAAACATAATTTTATATTTGTGAGAAAAAATTGTTTAAAACAATTCAAAAAAATATGACAAAAAAATAGTATTTTCATAAAAAAAACTACCCCGGTACTACTAATAATAAAACAATAAATCAAATTAATAAATACATAATCAATTTGCAATTATTAATTTAAATTAATTACTCCTAAAAAATAATAATTATATAAACTTAACATGTTTAATTTTTTCGTATATGTTTTAATTTTCATCCCCAAAATTGGACAATCATTTTATGTCAACTAATATAGTATCGGATAAATCGCATATACAGGTGCTTGACTTTCAATATGTTTTTATATATGTATATACAGTATATATATATATATATATAATATATATATATATGTATCATAATTATTATTATCATCATCAAATATAATTATGGTAATAATAATAATAATAATAATTTAATAAAAATTATTTTTTTTTAAAACAGACATTTTCGTGTAAGTGTGACTTTCAATGGGTTGTCATATTATATATACATTATTATTATTATTATATATATATCATATTGTTGTATATCATCATAGTATCAATAATTGGTAAAACTTTTTTTTATGAATGTTTTGTTTTGTTTTTGTTTTGTTTGTTTGTTTTATAATATATCTATCTGTAAAAAATAATTTAAATACATATTTTTTAATACAATGTTATTATTATTAATATTAATAGTGATAAAAAATATTATTTAATTTTAATAATAAATCAATTTATTAACTATTGTTATTATGATATAAATTTATGTATATATAAAAAAAAATCAAAATTTTTCACTATCAAAATTAGCTAAAAAAAATAATAATTATTTAATTTATTCATATATATAAAAAAAAATAATAATTGCAATGATTTTCTACATTGCCTTCAAATGTTGTCGTTTTTCTTGAAGCCGTTTGCTATACCGGGCCCGGGCTGTAGTACTAGTAGTAGTACCGTTGCCCGTCGAGTGTCTGCCCGTACTATTGTTGACAATAGCCTCGCGTACGGCTCTGGCGGCCGATTTATCCGACTGTCTGTCTTTGAGTACCCGTTTCTGATAGTTTTGAGCCATTGAATTGACTATTGAGACTAAAAAGTAGAGTATCATCGTTATGACCACCCATTCAAATATCATCGACAACCAGGAGCCATCCTAATGTAAAATTAAAATATTATTAGTAAATGTGAAATCATTATTACCGGTACTATTACTACTACTACTACTACCGGTGCTGAGGAAACACCACTTACTTTTGCCGTTTGTTTGGCTGAACCTCTGTGAAGGCTAGCCTTTTGTTTGACAAGAAACTCCCGTAACGGTTGATGTAAAAGTTGGCCAACATATGGTATATTTCTATAATAATTATCGGTAATAAACAAAAAAATTACGGTAAATATCATTTACAGATAAACAGGTAGATTATTGGCTAAACATTACACATACCGGCACTTTTCGACCAACAGTTCCAAGTAGTTCTCGTTGAAGGCGACAATAACGAACAGCTTTTGGATATGCATTTTGATTACCGCTTTGCCGATTAGGGTGGCACCGAAAAACGTCCAAAACGGTACTAGCGAGTAGCCGCAAGTAATGCCGGCCAAATCGAATAACGGGTTCGGTATGGAAGCGCAGGCCAATATGCCGAAAAATCCTACTTTAGTGACCAATCGGATCATATTGCCGCGCATACGTTGAGCAAACGATAACTGCAGGCCACGACCACCACCACCGGTAGCCGGATGGCCGTCCACTAACTGTTGGGCCAACTCGGGTTCCAGTTCGTCCTCATCTTCGCCGGCCAATCGGTGAGCTCTGGCCACGAAATACGGCGGCAGTTCACCCAAGGCTGTGCCGGCGCCCCACATGAACGCCTCCAGACGTACTTTCGACATAATGGTCCAAACGTTGATCGGTGTCGACAACACAGATCCAGAAGCTGGACATATGATTCTAATGGGTAAACAATAATAAGAGATTAGTAGTGGTAGTAGTAGTAGTAGTAGTAGTAGTAGTAGTAGTAGTAGTAGTAGTAGTCATACTCGTCGGGATAGGGAGGAGACGGAAAGTCCAACGATTCGCACTCATAAGCGGCCAAAGTTACCGACGCTATGTGCGGCCCCTATGGTTATAATACATAATAATAATTATAATTTAGAAATAATAATAAAAATAAAACTTTTTGGGGGAAAAAATAAAAACATTTTCTATATGAACTTCACAATTGACTATCAAATATATATATATATATTAATAAATCTTATATATAATTAGATAATAAAAATAATTTTTGGCAAAAATTCAATAGATATCATATATGAAATCATGTGTTATTTATAAATAAATATAAATATATAATTAAATTTCTAATTTCATTAAAATAAGTTATCAATCATTAGATCGCTATATATTGTTGTAGTAGTAATAGTAGAGTAGGTTTGATGTCATTACTATAAGATAATTAAAAAAAATAAATCTAATTTAAATTTTTTACAATACAATAGATTAGTATTTAATTTAATTAATTTATTTTTTTGACAAATTATTTTATTGTTGTTGTATTGCATTTAAAAATAATATACAGTATATAGACATACAATACAATACCCCTCAATTGGCGGTTAATATTTACGGTTAATATATACTTACAAGATATAATAGGAATGTATGCAAACCGGTGCCCAGGCCTACGGAGGACAGTATGCCCAGGCCACACCAATAGAGACACCAGATTAGTTGTTTCTGGAACTGGGTTAGCCATAGCTGATGAGGGCCGTCCAGATGATAGGCGCACAGGTAGCCGATCAACAATAGTACCGATGCTAGACAGGTTAGCGTATGACATAGTACCCTAATGGGGGAGGGGGGGGGTTAAAAACAAATTTTTAGTGATAAATTTAACAAACAATATGTACTAGGTTAGTTTAGCTAGCTTATCTAGCTAGCTAGCACTAGGAGGTGTGTAAATAATATATATATATATTCATATATGATATACCATTTGGTTAGGTTGACAATTTGATGGCTGAGCTCATGGGAGGCATAGTATAGTGTGACAAATGGGCGCCTCCACAGTACTAATGTTGATATGTCTTGCATTTATTTTTATAAAAAAAATTAATTTATTTAACTAAATATAACACTAAATTATCACTAAAATTAACGTTTAATTAAATTCAATTTTGATCCAAGGGTATTTGGGGGTTTATACCCACAAAAAAATATATTAGATAGACTGGGGGAAAATATTATAATTATTATTTATTTTTAATTTACACTAGTTATTAAATTGTACTACTGTACTGGACAATTAATTAATTAATTAATTTAAAAAAGACACTTGTGTGTTTATGTCCACATATACAGTATATATATATATTAGGTAAGGTATCTATGTGAATTATATTGATTAAATCATATATATATATTTAATACATACACATAATAATAATAATAATTTTTTGTTATATATTAATTTACACACATTTATTGTATAATAATAATAACATTGCTCAGCATAAAACACATACAGTTCATACACACATATACACACACATACATACACACATACACACATACACACACACACATACACACATACACACACATACATACATATACACACACATATACACACACATATACACACACACATACACACACACATACACACACACACACATACATACATACATACATACACACACATGATGTGACGTGTATTATATACAGTACAGTACATCCCGTTCCCGGTTTTTACATACTGTACTACTTATGTAGTCTAATATAAATTACAATTTTTTTTTTTTTAAATATTAAAACAAAAATAAGATACTAAAAAAAAGTTTGATAATTTTACATTTTTATTAAAAAAAAACATTTAGTAAACATTTTTATAAAATTTTTTTATAAAAAAACTAGATATTTAACTATTATTATTATTATTATTATTATTAATACCAAAAAAAATACCCAAACCTATCATAAACTAACTGCACACTTGTCTAATGTGTCTATCCTATCTAATGTATGACTACCGGTGCGCGCATGGCTTTCCCCTCTCCCATGTGTTTTCAACATTTAATTTTGTGTCAATACTTTAAATAAAAAAAAACATACAAAATGTTTAGATAAATATTTTTTTTATAATAAAAATAATTAATTAAACTTTTTTTTATATAAATAATTTATTAATAAAATAATGATTAAAATTAATCCAATATTAAAGTCAATAGTCATTGACTATTGTATTGAATATAATGTAAAACTTTGTCCAAAATGTTTGCTTAGGTTTTGTTTAGTGAAAAACTTTTCGATATATAAGCGGCCGTCAAGTGATTTGTGGCCACCGATTATGGCCAACAACAACAACAGCGGGAACGCCACCACCACCGCTACCGACGACGATACCGACATCAGCACTGGTCAGCACAAGTCACCGCCGATTAGCCAACTATTGTCGACCGATAGCCGCCGCAGTTGCGCCTCATGTCTGGGACTACTGGACGACCGCTACTGCAATCAATTGGTCGATAAAGTGGTCGACCATTTGACTGGTGCCGACTTTGGCCATCAGTATAAACAGTTTCAGCTGTTTGTTTCGTTGCCGGTATCGGTAACCCTACGCCATGAACTATTGATACAAAAGTTGCGACACTATCGGCAACTTATCGACGGAGGAGGAGGACATCAAAAACCACCGAAACTGCCGAAGTTGGACATCGGTGGCGATGGAGGCAATAATTGTTGGGAACCGGCCTCAGCCGCCGGCATCTATTCGGTGAAAGATATCTTTCGGGTGATACTCGTCGACGGTATTGAACGCCGACTACCTGGTCGGCCGTTTGACCCGAATTCGGTGTTTAGTATATCGCTTGATATCGGCCACGTCGACAGTGACCGCGAATGTTCGGAATTTTACGAACGAACGCCGAAATCGTTTTTCCCGAAGAAATGTCTCAAATCGACGACCAAATCGTTTCTGAATCAGTCGTCAATATTGCGAGCGTTGGCCACATTAGATGCCGACGTACTATTCAAGTGGCCACTAGTGGCCAATACAGATAGTACGGATTGTTCGCTCGAATCGATACGAGTGGCCAGCAATCCGATATATATTGCCGGCCGCTATCAAAAATACAGCCGCCATTTGTCGCAAACACCTTGGATTCTGGACGACGGCAGCCGACTGATGGACGACTCCGTACAGGACATCATCGATCGGGGCGTACGTCAGCACGTGGTCTGCGATGAACTCCGATTTAGTGCTTCGGGTCGCGAGGATGTCGATGTCCGGATGTTGGGACGCGGCCGACCGTTCATACTGGAAGTGGTCAATCCGCGAACCATTGAACTAAGCGGACAACAGTTTCTGCAGATAACCGAAACGATAAATATGGCCGAAAATACTAGTGTAACTGTACGTGACCTGCAATTAGTTAGCAAATCGGGTCTCCAGTTGCTAAAAGACGGCGAAAATGCTAAAACCAAGACCTATCGGGCCCTGTGCTGTATGAGCCGTCCCCTAAGCGACAATGATTTGGCCCTATTGGCCGCCACCGAGCCGTTTACGATTAACCAGAAGACACCGATTCGTGTACTTCATCGGCGAACACTGTCTGTACGGCCGAAAAAAATCTATAAACTCGGCGCCGAACGAGTGACCAGCGATAGCTTGTTGACAACGACCGACGACAAAGAGTTGACCGATAAGTTCGGGCCGCATTTGGACAGTATTTTCTATTTGTATTTGACTACCGAAGCCGGCACTTATGTCAAAGAGTTTGTCCATTCGGATTTCGGACGTACTGTACCGTCGTTGGCCACTTTGCTGGGCAATTGCCGTACGGATATCATACAACTCGATGTTATGGTAACTAATAATAATAATAATAATGTTTAAACTAATTAAACTTTTAATTAAGTTTCAATTATTTATTTATTTTATTTTTTTGATAAAAAAAACAATAGGAAATCAATACTGATTGGCCACCGATTGTTACCACCGATGATGATAATGAAGTGGACAATGATATGAAAATTAGTTGATTGATTGAAAAACTAATATTATTTATATTATAAATATTTTTTTTATAGTTATTTGAATTAATTATAAATGTTTATATATATATATAGTAATAATATTCATTCAATTATTAATAATAATTATATAATTTATTTGTTAATTTATAAATTATTTTTTTTATATCAATATTTGACTAAATTTTTTTTCTTCCATATAATTGATAATTATTTACATTTTTTGATTGTTTGTCATATTTATCATATTATTAATAAATAATTTTTAATTACAAATAAATTCTATGGGTTAGATTATAATTATAAATAATAAATAAATTAATTAAAAATTAATTTAGTTTAACTATTGGTAATGTATAAAATAAAAAATAAAATAAAATAATTGATTTAAAATTTATATATAATTTATTTGTTAATTTATATATAAAAATAATATATAAATTAACAAATAAATTGAAATTAATTTTAATTTTTAATTACAAATATATGTTAGATTATAATTATAAATAATTAGTTAACTAACTATTGGTAAAATGTATAAAATAAAATAAAAATAAAATTTAATTATAATTTATTTTTAAAAAAATTAAATAACATTTTAGATGTCACTGTTTGCAGCTATGTTAACCTAGTATAACAACATAAATTAGGTACTATTATATATAGTTGAATATACATTGAAAATACTAGCAATTCTATAGTTATAAAACAGTACATACAATACAGTTTGTTGGAAATCAAACCATAGAATTCCAATATTCAATACATTTTTATATCAAAAAAAAAACTATTTGATTATATTCAAAACCAAAACAATAGTAGACGAACCATAAACATATATATATTTATCATAGATTACACTTAATATATACATACAAATACAAATAGTGTGTATAATAACTATGTAACGTTAGTCTATGCTTTGTAATAACTCCGCCCCACTAAGCATTAAACACCCTAATATTGCGCGCATATATAGATGTAGTGGGCGGCCATTATTGTTTTGGTTTTGAATATAATCGAACAGTTTTTTACTATTATTTGACGCCTATATCGCACACACAACAGTTTCCAATGGGTTCAACAATAACTGTTCGCTAATAACGTGACACTAATATATCCCAAAAATATTGTTCCCCTATTTTTTCACACACTATAGTAGTCTATATTAATATACTGTACATATGTAATGCTATTTGAATGCATACATTAACTAACAAACAATTTTTTTTTAAACCCCGTCACTAGATATTTGTATCATTAGTTTTATTTGATTGATATAATAATAGAGACAATAAAAAAGTCAACCATTTATTGAACTTTTCATTTCATTTCAATAATACAATCGATATCTTTGTTGTTATCGACGGACAACTACTAGTGACCAGAAATTTTTACCGAACGGACAGACAGACGGACACACCTATCAGACGGTCAGACACACCGATTGATCAGCAACGACGTCGTCTACGGCCAGAAATCCCGAGGAGGACATAGACTCTCTCACCAATCATCGCCAAAGTAGCCGATCATCGACGGACAACAACAATACTAGACGCCCGACTAGTGACCAGAAAAATAATAATATGTCGTCGTCCTATCGAAGCGAATCGCGTATATATGTCGGTAATCTGCCGCCAGATATACGTACGAAAGATATCGAAGACTTGTTCTACAAGTTCGGTAAGATATCGTTTATTGACCTCAAGAATCGGCGCGGACCGCCGTTTGCATTCGTCGAGTTTGAGGACAATCGGTAAGCTCGGGGGTAGACCACTATTGTGTGGTCATATATCTATCGCTGGCCATCAACTGTTGACTATAATCTTGATTTTTTTTTATTCCCCGGCTCTAAACAGCGATGCCGAAGACGCGGTCCATTCGCGCGACGGCTACGACTACGACGGCTATAAACTTCGCGTAGAGTTTCCCAGAGGTAAAGAGCGCGGACCGGGCGGTGCGTTCACATCGGGCTCCAGATCGGGCGGCGGCGGCGGAGGACGTGATTTTAATCCGCGCGGACGCGGACCACCAGCTCGTCGATCGCAATACAGAGTTACTGTTTCAGGTCAGTCCGGTCGGTCAATCATTTATATACTGACTATGTTTTAACTGACTGTACATTTTTTTTTTGTTGGCGGCCACTACAGGTTTACCGCCGACTGGCAGTTGGCAGGACTTGAAGGATCATATGCGCGAAGCCGGCGACGTTTGCTATGCCGATGTCTTCAAGGATGGGACCGGTGTTGTCGAGTTTCTTCGATACGAAGACATGAAGTACGCCATCAAAAAGCTGGACGACTCACGTTTTCGATCGCATGAGGTATTTGGTGGGGAACTCATAGTCATTTGATAACTAATACTGATTTTTTTTCTCTTCAATTATCACCGACTAAAAGGGCGAAGTGGCCTACATTCGTGTCCGCGAAGACTATGGCGGCTCAAGCGGCGGTCGTTCGCGTAGCCGATCGCGTTCCTATTCGCCGCCGCGCCGTAGCCGCGGATCGCCAACCTATAGTCCGGCCCGTAATCGATCCCGATCGAGATCGCCGGCCTCCAGGTCACGGTCTAGAGATCGCGATCGTGACCATTCCGATCGTTCCCGATCCCGATCGGCTTCAAAATAATAATTACCGACTTTTTACCGCACCACCATCATACGCACCACCGAACGGCAACCACAATCACAATGAGAGGCCAATTGAGAGGGTGTGTTTTTGGTGTATGCCTGTATACACACACATAAATATATCTATACACACATACATACATACACTCTACCTCCCTGTTCAATGGGTGGGTGGGTGTGTACATACAATAATAGCCATACTCTCTATTTATCTCTCTCTCTCTCTCTCTCTCTTTCTATAACTCCTAATGTGTACCTCTAATTTGATTTCAATTTTTTTTTAATATATATATATATATTAGTATATATAGACACCATTACACCACTACTACTATTACAATACTAGAGAAATACATATTATTATTATTATTATTTTTTAATTAAAACAATTTAATTATAAAACAAAACATTTAAGTACAACAAATAGTAGTTTAAATATACACTAATTATAATTTAAATGATGATAATTTAGTAACCAATTATTTTTTGATTGTTTGTTTGTTTTTCTTATTGTTGTTTGTCTTTTAGCGTATATTTATTATTAATTATTATTAGATTATAAACACACTATATATTTATTATTTTATAAATATAAAAACAAAACAAAACAGTTTATGAATTGTTTAGTAAATTATTTATTGTTTATTATTATTATTATTAATTATTTTTGTGCTGACTTTTTGCCTCAATTTTTATTTTTTTATAATAGTATTTCATTAGATTATAACTTAATATCTAATGTTTATGTATTTAACAGTATATATATATACAGTATATGTGTGCTGTTTGTGTCCTAACCTATCTGTCCTATGATTTCGTTATTTACATTATTTTCTGTTTAGTTGTTCTGTATTATTGTTTTATTGTTATTATTTCTTCTGTATTTAATTTATTAGTTTTAAATTAACAATAATATTAAGTATTATTATTATTATTGCTTTTTTAAATAGTTATATATGTTTTTCATATTTATGTTTATTGTTTTAGTTAACAATTATATATCTATATATTGTATAACATATATCCGTATATATATTAATCTGATATTTTTTTTTGTATATCTTATTGATTTATATATATATATATCGCTCTTTAAAAAAAAATCGCGCACTCAATGACCAGTCTCTCCACACATACCATACCTGTGACCAGTGAGCTGACTGTCCATATATATCTATCTATCTCTATCTATCTATCTCTGTATCTCTCATTCTCAGGATTATTGGATGGCCATCGCCTACCAGTGATGTCCACACCATTTATAACAAAACAAAATATTTAAGAAAACAATACCAATTCTATGGGGATTGTTGTCTGTGTTTCTAATATTATTATTATTATTTATCTAATAATAATAATAAGGATAATAAGGATAATCAATAAGGAAGGACAGGGAGGATAAGGAGGAGGAGGAGGATTAAGGATAAGGAGGATTAAGAGGATAAGGAGGAGGAGGAGGATAATGATGTGTTGTGATTGAGAGGAAGTCAGGATATTTGATGCGGTATTTTTGATTTTTTGCTTTTGATTTTTTTGACACTAATTATTATTATTATTATTATTAACTATAATTATTAACAACAAAATTACTGTAATATAAATAATATTTATTTATAAAAAAAAACAGTACTTATTTTTATTTATTAAATACATTTATATACAGTATATATATATATACAGTAGTTGTCTTACAATTTTTTTTTTATAGTAATTTATTCAACGATAGGATATTGTTTAGTAATAATAATACTGTTATAGGATTGCAAAAAAATAATAATAATATTAAATTAATTACTATTTTGAGTGTTTCAATAGTTAGGGTAATTTTGACATTATTTTTATCTATTAACTAATAATACTATTGAAAATTAATTGATTTATTTTATTTTTAAAATTTTTTCTATACTTTAATTAATTAATTTTTTTTACCGTAAATAATAATAATAAGTATATCGATATTTCTATGTAATAATTATAATTATCTTATAGCCTTATTATATAATTATATTTAAAATTAATTACTATTTCATACACACATTGATTGATAAAACAACAATACATAAACTGTTTATTGGAAAAAAAATTAATAAGAAAATAATAATTTCTATGATATAATATGTAATAATATTATTAACGATTTTTAACAAACAAACAAATTATTTTTAGATTTTTTTGTTGTTGTTGTTGTTGTAAAAAAACAATTTACTTTTAAGGATTGACTTAATTAATTAATTAATTAATTTCTCTGTTATCTATCTATCTATCTATTTATATATACTATATATATATATATTATATATCTATGTGTTGTCTATCATTTTGAAGGCATCATCACTTGATGATTGGATATAATGATGACCATTGATGTTCAAACCAAAAACAAATTTATTATTAATTATTATTACTTAACCAAAAAAAAAACTTAATAATAAAGAAAAAAAACAATTTCATCAAAATATTTTTGTGTCTAAGATTTGACTTTGAAGAGGAGGAGGAGGATATATGCGGTGCATATGGAGGACAGGGATGATGTCTATCTGTGTGTGTGTTTGTGCGCTAAAACACCGTGAGATGCTTATACTGTATTAATAAGGATTGATAATAATATAAGGATCTAATAATAAGGATTAGGATCTTAATAAAGTGCCAAATTATTAGCCATATAATAGGATATATAATGCCATATAATATGTATGTACCGGGAATGCATGAGCCGCCAGCAGCAGCACCCCATACGTGTGCGCCTACCGGACAGCCAAATCACATATAGGATTATTAATAATAATAATAACAATATAGCCCCCACACCCCCTGCTGCCAATGTTAGGATCACACAAACTACTACTTGTCTGGAGCCATAGGATGTGCCATTAGGATGACTGATGAGCTAACCATAATTTTTATTTTCAATAATCAGGAGGATTAGGATTTAAAGGAACCGCAGGATTAAAAAAAAGATGATATCTCTATCTATCTCTCAAACACACACACATACACTGAGGACACACACACACACAATGAGGAGCCATCATACCTGTGCAATTAGGATTAGTGCGCTTAGGATTAGGAGATTTGTTGCCACACAATAGGATTGTTGCCATTAGAGGAGGAGGAGGAGGAGGAGGATTACAGCTGATAACAGACATTACAATAATTATTTAAACTGTTTGTGCAAACAATCCGATAAAAAACTAATTATATAACTTTGTGTGCTTTTTTTAATACAGTATATTATCTCATAATGTGAATATATATAACTTTATATATATATATGAAAATACTATGAATTTTGTGTTTGTTTGTAAATGGGAAACAATTTTTTGTTATATTGATTGATTGATTAATTAATTGATATATAAGTGTTTATTATTGTTTATATAATAATAATAATACTGTACTGTAAATTGGTATCAGTATTAATTGGTACCCACAAAAATTATATATATATATTATAATTTAATATATTTAATTGTTATCTGGATGATTATTTTTGATGGATACATAGCCAACTATAACAACCTAGGTAATATTATTTATAAATAAAGGTATTAGATGCTTGGGTAAGTATAATAATACAATATATTATTTTTTTTTTCACTGCAATATTATATCTATATATTTTATTTAAAACTACTGTATATAATATTGTTTTATTTTGTTGAATAAAATAATAAAAAAAAGTTTATCAAAAAATACTAATAGTTTTTGATAATTTAATTATAATTATTAATTTAATAAATTTTTTTTAAAAAATTTTATTCATCCATTAATGATTGCGAAAAAAACATTTTTGTTGTATAAATTTATTTATATATATAAATATAAAATTATTAATTAATTAAAATTACTTATAATTTTATTAAAAAAACACATTTGATTTTTTTTAATTTTTGATAATACAATAATTTAGTACCATTTAGTTTTAATAAAAATTATATATATATGTATATACTGTATATTTATAAAAAAAAATATTAATAATTATTTAATAAACATCGTATGATTTTTAATTTTTTTAGATAAATAAAAAAATTAGTTAAAATATATTATTACTAATTATAGATGCTAATTTTTTTTAAATTTAAAAATTTATAATAGTAGCCATATTTTTAATTAATTAATTAATATATATAATAATAATAATAATGTTAAAACAATTTGCGTCAAACAACTTAAGTGCCCGACTATTATCAGTATTATCCATATTATTATTATTATTAATAAATCAATTGACACCGATTTCGGGTCTACATTTACCGCTACTAAGTCCGCCGTCCACGTCAAACAAGGGTACCGGCCAGACATTGGGTCTGGGCAGTCAACGTCCGGTCAACAAAGACCCGATAACTGGCCAACCGTGTCGTCCGATTAGCACAGCTGACCAACCGTTGCTCGGTGTCGATATAGGAGGTTTGTTGGGCGGAGGTGGTGGTGGTGGTGGCCAAGGGTCGCAAAAAAACTTGCCACTATGCACACAGCTGGCCAAACCGGTATTCAGGCGATCCTTTAGCAATGTGACAGTAGTGGCCGGCAAGGAAGCCATATTCGACCCGTCCTATAGCGGTATACCCGTACCTTCGATCCAATATTACCGATCAGTAACGCCGATATTGGACGATGGCCAGCGTGTGTCGATTGATGCCGATAATCGGCTACACATTTTGCTGGCCAATCGTTCCGTAGATAAGGGCGTCTATACAGTAGTGGCCAAAAATAGCGTCGGTTTGTTGAAACTGTGATTTTTTCTACCAATTGATTTCATTGTATATGAAATAAATTTATATATTTATTATTATTATTATTATTTTATAAAGGCTTAGATTCAATCAACTTTGAGATCGAAGTGCTAGACGTACCCAAACCGCCCGGCGGTCCATTGGTGGCCAATAACTTGACCTATAATTCGGTAGTACTGTCGTGGACACCGCCATCGGATACGGGAGGTCTCGATATTACTGATTATCTGATTGAAAAACAAGAGTTACCAGAGTTGTCGTCGTCGTCATCCAAATTATCGGCCGAACCCCAGTGGACACGGGCAACAAAAACCGGAAAATTATCAAAAACTATTGGTCCACTGTCGACGGGACAAAGCTATCGATTTCGGGTAATTGCCGTCAATCCGATTGGTTCGTCGCCGCCGCTGGTGCTCAACGATCCGCCGATAGTACCGCGCGGTCCGCCATCGCCGCCGGTCAACGTACGCGTAGCCAATCATACGTTTGTAGCCGTAGTAAACTGGTCGCCGCCTATCCAGGATAACGGTTCGCCGATTACCAGCTATATGGTCGAGATTAGGGAACCGGCCACTGGTGGCGGCGACTGGTTGATTGGCGCACAGGTTCCCGCCGCTACACTGGCAGCTAATTTGGCCAATGTTTTCGTCAATAAAACCTACGAGTTTCGGGTGAGCGCTGTAAACCAAATTGGCAAAAGCAAACCGTCCCGGGTATGTTAAAAAATTATTATTATTATTTGAATATTATTTGTTGTTATATATAGTAATATACAGTATATTGATTTACACATTATATTTTATGATAATTTTTTTAAAAATTATTAATTAATACAATTTATTTGAGGGGAAACTAAATTATGATTAATTAGTTATTTTAGTTTATAAAAAATTAGTTAATAAATTTTCATAAAATTAACTAAAAAATTTTAGAATTATTATTATTATAATTACTAATTTATTATTATAATTAATTATTATAATTAATTATTATTTATATATTATTAAATAAAATGTTTTTTTTAATTACTTGTGTTTTGTGGTTTATTAAGAAAAAAATATAACTACTAAACAATTAATTAGTTAAAATTCATTTTAATAATAATAATACTAATTAATAATTATTTTTATAAAAGTTATTTTATTCAATGTATACACACTTACTTAGATTATAATTGTGTAATTGAAAATATTGTTATATAGTTTATTAGATATTTAGTACAAATATGAAATTGGTTAAATAGTTTTTTTTTTTAAATTAAATATTTAAAATTTATACAATATATCCCCTATGTTTATGCAAAATACAAAAACAACAAAACAAAACTACCGGTAATATAATAATAAAATATTAACAAATTTTTTGAATTAAATTTAGCAATAACAACATAAAACTAATATTAACTAATAATAATAATTTATTTAAAAAAATAATAATAATAATTAATTAAAAATAATAAGCCTGAACCATTTTTTTTTTGAACCAATAGGAGACACCGAAAATAACTATCCGGGACAATCTGAATGCGCCCAACATTGACATCAAACAAATGCGCGACACAAACGTCGACCGCGGGTCACCCGTTAGGGTATCGGCACCGGTATCGGGCAAACCCGAACCGACAGTTGAATGGCTATTCAATGGTATATCAATCAAACCTAATGATAGCGGCAATGTTCGGCTTAAGACTGAAGGCAATTCGGCCACTCTGGCCATCGAAGCGGCCGACAAACAGAATGTCGGCGTCTATACACTGGTGGCCACCAACAGTGCCGGCAACGATTTGGCCACATTCAGGTTGACCGTCAATCAACCGCCCGGCCGGCCGTCAGGTGTACTGTCGATCGAACCGAAACCGATGTCACTGGAGTTGGCCTGCAATCCGCCAGACGATAACGGCGGACGACCGATTACGGCCTATGTGTTCAACAAATTTGACAATAAAACCGGCCAATGGTTACCGCTGGCCAATGTCCAGTGTTCGAAACCCGATATCATCGGTTGCTGTTTGACTTCAATTAAAAGCCCCACCAGCGAGGATATCGGTGCCCTATACTCGGTGCAGGCCATCAACTCAGTTGGCCAATCCGAACGGTTAACTGGACGCGCGGGAACCGAACAACTGTCGGCGCCACAAAATCTGACAGCAGTTTTGGACAATAAAGGACGGGTAGTATTGCAATGGTTGCCACCGATCAATGCCGCCAAAACCAATGCCAGTAGTCCTGTTGACAGCTATTATGTTGAACTGAAACAATTACCCGACGGTCAGTGGCGTAACGCTAGCGTAGACCGTGATTCGCCAGTGGCTACCAATGCTGTCGTCGTCATCGATGTCTTGGCCAACAATAACTATACGTTTCGTGTTAGCGCTAACAATGCCAATGGTATGAGTGACCCGTCAGAGGTATGTTACCGATATTACCGATACCGTAAAACTATCGATACCATTAACTAAACATACCCCCCATTTTAAACAGCCCGCTCCCAGTGTCACCATTACTATATCCAGTGTTCCAATTATTGACCGCAAATCGGTCAGAGATTATACAGTAGACAATGGCCAGAATTTGCGTATAGAATTGCCAGTCAGCGGTACACCCGAACCGGACATCGAGTGGCTGTTCAATGGGACAGCAATCGACGCAAACCGTACGCCGAACGTTGCGCTGACTGTCGACGACAATCGAGCCGTACTGACCATTCAAAGAGCCGACAAATCGGCTAATCAGGGCGTATACGGTTTGCGGGCCAATAATACTGTAGGTACCGATTTGGTTAGCTTTCGTATTGCTGTACAGTTACCATTAGATACGCCGCCGGCCATCTGTCCACCACTCGACACCGCAAGTATAGTTGTATCCAATATAACCAGTACTGCCATACAATTGCAATGGAAACCAGTCGACTATCGGGAATACATACTGTACTATAAGGTACTATAAGGGACTAACTGTCCCATTAGAGTAACCAAATTATTCAATCAAATAAGTTTTATACTGTATATATACATCTATTAGATTGAAGAGTATAGTAAAGACTCAAAACTTTTGGACGTTTGGACAACGGTTGCCAACACTACCCAAACCGCTCACTGGCTAACTGGTCTAATATGTCATTCGACACACAAATATCGGATCAGTGTTACCGCTGGCCAGTTGTCGACGACGACGGCCACCACCACCACCACCACAATACCCCAATACAGCGATACGGCAGCGATAACCACCAACATTGCTCAACCATATCCGGTCGGCGGACCCGTAAGAGCGTCGGATATCACTGACGACAGTATTGTCTTACATTGGGAAACGGTAGCCAACGATTGCGGTTCACCCGTTATCGGCTATAAGATAGAAAAACAGATTATGGGCGACAATAGCTGGCATTTTGTTGGCCAATCGCGCAATATACTAGTGCGCGTCAAACACCTGAATCCAGACACCAAATACCGGTTCCGAGTTATGGCATTGAATATTGTCGGACCATCCGAACCGTTGATATCCGATTATATTGTCACCCAATCGACGACTACAACGACAGCACGACTACCTCCTAATAATAATGATAAGTTATTGTTGACAACAATACCGGATCCTGCTTGCGATAAACAAGACAAGGTTTCGATAACTATACCGCCAATGCCCACACCTACACAACCGACTATAACAACTACAACAACACCAGAACCGACTACTACTACTACTACAACAACACCACAACCGACTACTACTTCTACAACAACACCACAACCGACTACTACTACTACAACAACACCACAACCGACTACTACTTCTACAACAACACCACAACCGACTACTACTACTACAACAACACCACAACCGACTACTACTACAACAACAACAACAACTCCAGAACCTACTACTACTACTACAACGACAACAACACCACAACCGACTACTACAACAACAACAACACCACAACCTACTACTACTACTACTACTACAACGACAACAACACCACAACCGACTACTACAACAACAACAACACCACAACCTACTACTACTACTACTACTACAACGACAACAACACCACAACCGACTACTACAACAACAACAACACCACAACCTACTACTACTACTACAACGACAACAACACCACAACCGACTACTACAACAACAACAACACCACAACCGACTACTACTACAACAACAACTCCAGAACCGACTACTACTACTACCACTACGACAACTACATCGAAATTAATGCCACAAAAAGATAATATATTGTACTCACCATCAATACCGGCTCCTTCTTGCGATATATCAAACATTACTAAGAATGAGGTAAAGAAAGAAAGAGTCGATCATTTAAGACAACAATTATTTCAATTAACTATTTAATACAATAGTATTTATTACTAATAATTAATATTTTTTTTTAAACAATAAACAGGTAATGATTAATTGGGCGCCACTATACTGTCCGACTAACGGCACACTACCCATGGACTATGTAATTGAAAAACAATACGATGGCCGAGAGATGGATCGATGGACAAGTGTGGGTCGATTGAATAGATCGTACGTCTGGATCAACGAACTGATGGCCAGACATTTGATCCGATTTCGGGTAAAATCAGTTGATCCGTTGTCTGGCGCCGAATCTGCGCCGGTAGAAACCGATTGGGTATTTCTCAACGACAACAACAACGATTGTAAGTGTCGTCCGATAGCCGGTCCAATTGAACCGAAATATATCGGCAATAACTTGTTGGACATCAAGTGGCAAAAGTCTACCCAATCGGGTGTTCAGTATAAGGTCAGTCGGTTTAATATTTTATAACTAACTTTCAATCAATTATCTAAAATAAATAATATTAAATATTATTTAAATATATATATAGATTGAAAAGTTTAATAAACTTATCTACCGTTGGGAACAACTGTCCACAATCACTGATAATCATCTATTAGTAGGCAATTTGGACAAACACATCGACAAACTGTACCGATTGAGTGTAACCAACAATCGATGTGATTCGGTACCCGTTGAACTCAAATTGCTAACTGTACCCGAACTGTCCATCAATCAGACGGCAATAGGACCGATCAGATTACCCGAACAACCTGAGATAAGTACGTTTATTGTTGACGTACCCGACCAACATTCGGTGATCGGCATCTGGCAATCGGAGGGCACAAATGTCTTTCCAATACTACGTGATCAGAGACAGTTGGAAAGTGTGACCCGAAATATGAGTCTAGATTTTTGCAAAACACCGATTGTACAAAACAATAGTTCAATAATTATACCGCCAATGCCCACACCTACACAACCGACTACAACATCGCAACCGACTACAATACCACAACCGACTACAACAACCACAGCAACTCAAGAACCGACTACAACAACAACACCACAACCAACTACTACTACGACAACAACAACTACAACGACAACAACACCACAACCGACTACAACAGCCACAGCAACTCAAGAACCGACTACAACAACGACACCACAACCGACTACTATTACGACAACTACAACGACGACAACAACAACACCACAACCGACTACTACTACAACAACTACAACGACTACAACACCACAACCGACTACAACAACAACTACAACGACGACAACAACAACACCACAACAGACTACTACAACAACTACAACGACAACAACACCACAACCGACTACAACTACAACAACGACGACAACAACAACACCACAACCGACTACTACTACAACAACGACGACAACAACAACACCACAACCGACTACTACTACAACTACAATAACAACAACACCACAACCGACTACAACTCCTGAACCGTCTACTACTACTACGACAACTAAATCGAAATCAAGGCCACGAATAGATAAGTTATTGAAGTCATCAATACCACCAATAGATAAGATATTGTATTCACCAACAATACCGGCTCCTTCTTGCGATATAACAAACATTACTAAGAATGAGGTAAAGAAAGAAAGAAAGAGTCGATCATTTAAGACAACAATTATATAAAATTAATTATATAATAATACAACAGTATATCAATTTATGTTATTAAATAACTAATTTGTTTTTTTTTTGAAAAAAATCAATGAACAGGTAATGATTAATTGGGCGCCACTATACTGTCCGACTAACGATACACTGCCCATGGAGTATGTGATTGACAAACAATACGATGGCCGAGAAATGGATCGATGGACAAGTGTGGGTCGACTGAAAAAATCGTACGTCCGTATCAACAAACTGGTGGCCAGACATTTGATCAGATTTCGGGTAAAATCAGTTGATCCGTTATCCGGTGCCGAATCTTTGCCGGTAGAAACCGATTGGATATTTCTCAACGACAACAACAACAACGATTGTAAGTGTCGTCCGATTGACGGCATAATTGAACCGAAATATGTTGGCCACAACTCGTTGGACATCAAGTGGCAAAAGTCTACCCAACAGGGCGTCCATTATAAGGTCAGTCAACAAAAACCTAATATAATTTTGTATATAATTGTAATCAAATTAAACTTATATTTTATTAATTTGTTTAATTAATTAGATTGAAAAGTTCAATAAACTAACCTATCGTTGGGAACTACTATCGACTATCGATGACAATCATCTATTAATCGACAATTTGGACAAACAAGTGGATAGACAGTTACGATTGAGTACTACCAATAACCAGTGCGATTCGGTACCGGTTGAATTCAAGCTGCTGGCTATACCCGATCTGTCCATCAACGAAACTATTGGACCAATCGAAATGGCCGAACAACCCGATGTTCGTACCTATGTTGTCGACGTACCCGATATACAATCGGTAATCGGTATTTGGCAATCCGCGGGTACCGATGTACGACCTATACTCAGAGATCGGGAACAATTGAAGACAATGGCCCGACATCTTTGTCTAGGTTTAGATCAGTCAGCTAAGGCCAGTCCAAAAGGTGCCGACAGCGTCGGCGGTACCGAACAATTTAATTTCCAATATAATGGACCGAAAATTGCGAAACCAATCTTACCATCGATGCCTAAATCAATGGCTTTTGATTTTGAAGAGTAAACCAACAAAAAATTTAAGACAAAATTGTTTTTTTTGTATTTTTTTTACTACAATTATTAAATAATTTTGTTAAGTAATATATATATATATATAGTATAATGTTTGTTATAATATTATTTTTATTATTTATTAAATTATTATTATTATTAGATAATCTCAAAATAAAAACTAATTAATTTATTTTTAATGTTTTCAAATTGTTACCAATTATTATCGTTATTATTATTATTATTATTATCAATAGTTTTATGTATTAACATATTTGTAAAGATATTTATTTATAAAAAAAAATTATTATTCATAATTATATTAAATAAAAAAAATAATTATTGATATTTTGATTATACTATTATTTAACTGTAAATCCTAAAAACTATTAATAACTTAATAGTTAGTCATTTAAGAAAAAAATAAAATAAATTATTATTGATTGAAATCATTTTTGTATACAGTTATATTAGCAATAATTAATTATTTATAACTATAATACTAAATTATTTAAACAGATCCTAATATATTTACGATGACCTAGATAATCTATAAATAAAAAAATATATCATTGAAATGTGTGTGTGTGTGTTTTTGATTGCGAAATTACTTTTATTTTTTAATTAAATTATTATTATTAATTATTACTGAAAATAATAATAAATATTTATAACATTCAACAACAACAAAAAAAACTAGTATACAAAACACAATATAAATTCAGTTGTATTATTAAAAATTTAATTAAAAAAACATTTATATAATGTCATCATTGATAATAAGTATGTCAAACAATATACTATTATTTTTGTCGATAAATAAAAATAATAATAATAATAATATTGATAAATACAATATAACTTTATATTTATATATATTATAATATATATATATATATATATATATATATATATATTATATACTTTATAATAACTACTATAATCTAGCAATTTACAATTATCCTAAATATATAAATAAATTTATATACATGTATATAAAGTATTATTTGATATAAATAATTATTTGAGTAAATATTTTTATGTATTTAAATATAGAGTATTATAGATTTATAAGTTTGTAGATTAAATATATATATATATATATATATATATGTTTGTAGATTATAATATTTAATTTTTTATATAAACTATTTTATAATCTCTAAGTAGTTAATAATAATTATTATACAGTATATTACATACAAATAGCTTTAAAAATAATTAGATAAACATCAATACTGTAAACACTTGATATATATATAAAAATTATTTATATTATACTAAAATATTTTTATGTGTAAATACAAGTTTATTTTTAATAGATTTAGTAAATTATTATTATTATTATATCATAAAAATATTTTTATCACTTAAAATGTCTACATATACATCAAAATGGCAAATAATAAATAAATAAATAACAATAATTTTATTATTATACAAATATAATGATTGACTATTTATATATATTGACATATATTTATAAATTTATTTAAAAATATATATAAAACATTATAATTGTTTCTTAAAATTTTGTTGTTGTTGTTGTTGTAAATAAAAAAATAAATAAATAATTAATTATTTTTTTGTTTAATGGATTCATTTGCCCAATACGTTGAACACTTGAATCGTTTATCAATTTTTTATTTAGTTATAATCGTATCATTGATTGCTATATTTATTGTCATTTTGTTGCTATGGTTGGCCATTGAAATCATACACATTAGACACAGGTATTAATTATTAATTATTATTGATTAATAAAATTTTAAAAAAATATTTATATATATATAGAGAATATATACAGTTTATGGCACTTAAAAGTGTTTAAATTTGAGTATAAATATTATTTATTGTTTAACCAAGATACTTTATATAACTTATACCTAATATTATGTAAGCTAACCTTGCTTAGCGTAAAGTTAACTTGTAATATAACACAATATATTACTCAAATTTAAAACTATTTAATTGGCATTAATCTGTATATATTTGTATAATTTTAACAAAAAAATTAATAATTATTTTTTTTGGGGTCATATATATATATATATAGAAAATTAATGCAAATTGAACGACAAAAAGACAAAATGGATGGTGTGGTAGATATGCCAAAACAGGGCGTAGGGCTAGCAGTGCAGTCTATAGATAACCCACTGATGCCCAGTAGGGTAGCGACAAATAATATTAATAATAATAAAATTTTTAGTAATAATAAAAATAATAAATATAATAATCGCCGACAATTGCAACGTATGGACAGTGATATAAGTGGCGCCAGTGATGGATAAGCTTTTAGATAATAATAATAATAATAATAATAATAATAATAATAATAATAATAATAATAATAATAATAATAATAATAATAATAATAATAATAATAATAATAATAATAATAATAATAATAATAATAATAATAATAATAATAATAATAATAATAATAATAATAATAATAATAATAATAATAAAATTTTTAGTAATTATAATAATAATAATAATAAAATTTTTAGTAATTATAATAATAATAATAAAAAAAATTTTAGTAATTATAATAATACTAAAAATATATTGTCTGTAATAAATTAATTTTGTTTATAACAAACTATAATAATAATAATATAATTAAGTTATTATTATAATTATGTTTTTCAAAACCTATTATTATCATAATTATTATTAATGTACTGTATATTAAGTTTTTTATAAAAAAAATTAATAATATAGATATAAATTTATATATTAATATATACAACCCTATTGTAATTTTAAGCTATTGTAAAAGTTAGATATTATTATTATTATAATGATATTTTATTTCAATACATTAAAATTATTTATTATAATATTACCTTTTTTTTAAAAAAAATACAATAATATAATAGAAAAAATATTTTATTACATTTTTGAAATATCAATAATAATGAATTGCAATTTATTTATTAAAATAAAAAAATGTATTTTATATTAAAACTATATAAATGTCATATGATATTAATAATAATATTAATTATTAATATTATAATAATAAAAATAAAATATAATGAATAATATATATATATTATTAATTTCTATAGAAAAAATGGAAAACTATTTTAAATCTATAACTTATAAAATACATTTACATTTAATATATATATATATAAATAGTATTATGAAAATAAAATAAAATTTTAATTTAATTAATATATATATAACAATCTATATTTAATTATTATTATTATTATTATTTTGAAAAAATAGGACAAACAAATTAATTAGTACATAATTATGTTACTGTAATGTTGTTTTTTTTAAAAAAATAATAGATAAATAATTTATAGTAAATTAATGATAATTAATATTTTATAAGTACATACAGTATATGATAATTATTTTTTTCATTTACTAATTAGCAGAAAATGTTTTATTATCTACAGTAATATAAAACAATATCTATATTTTTTTACTTTATAATAATAAATAATATTTAATTAAAAATTATATAGATATTTTTTTGTTAATTATTAGTTTTATAATATATATATTATAATATTAAATTATTTTTTATTTTAGTCAAACATATGTTTTTATATAAATTATTTATATATATATATATATATATACAGTACATACTGTATAATAAATGTATTATAAAATATTTAATTTTAGCTAAAATCAATATACGGTAGTGATGTTATATAACTAACTTATATTATATATATATATATTGAACTTTAATAAACTATAATAAACCTATTTTTGAGATAATTTTAGATTAATATTAAATTTAATGTTTTTTTAAAAAAAATAAATATTTATATTTAAATATCAATTTAWAGWAGTATTATAATGAAATTATTTAACATGAGTTTAAAAATTTTTATTTTTAAAAAATACTATTTAAAAATCAATTTATTTATATAATTGACGTAAATCTTGTAATTTTTAAATAGTTAAATATATTACTTGTTTATTCAAACTACAATATATATATATATATATATATGTTGTATACAACTTTTATTAATTAAATTTAATTAAATTATTAGTTTTTTTAATAAAAAAAATTATAACTAATTAACTAATTAATTCATTATTAACGTTATGTATAAAAATAATTTATATGAAATTATTAAAACGACTTATTTATATGAAATAAATTTAATAATTAGTAATAATTATTTTTTTTATATAAAAAAATGTATATTTAGATTAGTAAACATGTTTACTAAAAAAATTTTTGATAAAAAAAACCAACAAAAAAAATATTTATGTTAAAAATGTGCAATATCATTTATTTTTTATATATATATATATATTATCATAAAATATATCAAATAACATATTGCTAGGTTATCGACTTAATTATTATTATTTATTAGAGTATAAAGTTTTAATGATATATAAATATATATATATATGTATATATATATACATTTAGTCTATTAATTAATTGATATTTTTTATAGAAATATTTATTTTACATATACTGTTATTTTCGATTAAATAAAATAAAAAACTGTTTTTTTGCCGTTTTTATAATAATTAATTTTAATTGTTATATAAAAATTGATACAAACAATAATAATAATAGTTTATAAATAAGTTAATTAATAAAGTATTAATAGATTATTATATAATAATAATAATAATATAAAAAACACATTTAATTAGATAGAAATACATTACATATAGTACTGTAGTTACAATTATTATTATAATAATTATTATAATTTATTTTAATTAAAAATTTAATAAATATTTTTTATATGATATATAATTATAAAACATGTTTTTTTTTGTTGTTGAAAATTAATTCAATTATATATTAATTCATTGATTGTTTGGATATTTATTTTATATTTATTTTTAAATTTTTTTTAATAAACAATCGTTGAATCGGTCGATATCTCTGACCGACAATCGCTAGAGTCCTCTAAGCTATGTTTGGCGCGCATCCGTTTGTTGGGTCGCTGATTGACCAACCGATCAGCACCGGTAGCCAAACCATTGTCGTCGTCGATGGTATTGTCGTCTAAATTGTTGTCACGTTTTTTGAGCGCCATTTTAATAAT